ACACCGCGGGATGGTCGGCGGTATTTTCCCCCCGTCATCAAGAGTCGAGTTGGACGCAAAAAGGGAGCCTAAAAGGTCGGCTTTGTCTTTTGCATCTTGGGCCAGTGAGTCGTCCTCCCTGTGCAGAGATGGTAGTGATGGCTTACAGAAATTCCCTTTGACAGCCTTGGCGAGAGACCAGAATGCACGGGTTCCCGAAGGAAGGCGAACTAGTTTCTCGCCAATTCTGCCTATGTGCTCTGACTTTGCCTTGGCAATAACACTTTTGAAGGACCTGGAGGCGAAGTTATACTTCTTTTTAAGTGTGCTGGTGTTTACATCCCGAGTCACCGAAGCCGCAGCCCAGGCTTGATAACACTCCTGCTTACTGCGCAATGCAGTCTTACAGGAGCGACCAAACCAAGGCTGAGATCTGCCTCCGATGGGTACCACAGATGATGGAATAAATAGTTCCATTCCCTGTAGCACCACATCAGTGACAGAGTCAGCAACAGCGCTGGGATCATCCGGCGAGAAGCAAACCCGCCCCCATGGGTAGGATGCAAACAAAGACCGCATTCCGTCCCAATCCGCCGACCTGTAATGCCAAACACGGCGGCAACCTGCAGAACGCAACCGCGAAGGGAGCATGAGTGGCACCATACTCCGGATCAGACAATGGTCCGAAGAGCCGAGAGGGGCATCGACGGAAACCTGATATCCGTCCGGATGAGAGGTCAGCAGAAGGTCCAACAGGGAAGGTGTATTATCCTCCACATCTGGAATCCGCGTAGGCGAAGTAACCAGTTGTGTCAGACCATATGCCAAGGCAAAGTCATAAACAGATCTCCCCGCATGATCGGTTAAACGTGAACCGAGCCATTCGGCATGGTGGGCGTTAAAATCGCCAAGGATCACGATCTCTGCGGATGGGACCTGTTGTAGCAAGGAATCTGTAGCCATTTGGACGTGGTCGATGAGTCGGTCTGTTTCGGCATTACCGCTATGGGACCTATAGAGGCACCCGTAGACGCGCGGATGGTCGTCGCTGTCTACGCGTAGCCAAAGGATGGACAGGTCCGAACCTTCAAGACTGCCGAGGCGTCGAGAACAGATGTCCTCTCTGACATACACGCAAACTCCAGCCCGAGGCACAAAGGAGTGCTCCAATTTGTACCCCGGGTAGGAGAGATACGAAATATCAGCCGGAGAGGAAACCTGCGTCTCGGTCAGAAAGAGCAAGGCCGGCTTCGCCGTCTCGAGATGGTAGTGGATCTCCAGACTCCCGACAAAACTAAAAATCTGCAGACCAACAGCTTCTCTTCACATATTATCATAGCTGCCTTTGATTTGATAAAAGCTGAATTAGTGAAAAGACTCAACTTTAAAGTAAATTGTTTAATTTTAAACACATTCTGAATATTTACTAAAAGATCCAAATTGGTGGACTTATTAAAGTCCAATGCTAAACACAAACAAACATGTGGCAACCTAAAAATTAAGTGTACTTAAATTAGTTATGTGTCAACGATGTTAAGTAATTTTTGTAGCCTATTAATTTATGAATTAACTTTTTTATTTTAAATACATTTTTCTTTTTAATATTCATTTCTACCGAAAACAACCCCAAAATCACAACATTTTCAAATTTTGTCCAGATATTTTGGTATTCCGATCTGGCATTCCTACCAGTAACGGTGGAAAGAAATAATAGAAGAAGCAATTTTAATTTTTCACCCACTTCTCGTTAATCTTGAACATAATTTAAAATCTTCTAAAGTCTGTGCTAAGACAAAATGCATCGAGGAATTGTAGCTTCCTTATAATTATATGAAAATAGTTTTTTAGGTCGGCTTATAATCAACACCCGTCTCTAGTCCACTGTTGGACATAGATAGGCCTTTTTTAAAATGCATCACTTGATGATTAATAGTGATGTGGATGTTAGTAAATCAATTTTGTTTCTCATGTTTAATTTTTACGTTATTTAACATTTTTAGATATTTTATTACCAAACTGGCAACAGATTGAAGCGATGACGGCTTTGCAATTGATTTTGTCCCTCACTGAACGTTAATTTCCTATCAGGAACGAGTCTATTAGAAATCTACCGTACCGCACGTAATCTAGGGCAATAGGTGTAATAACTCCTCGGATTGTCGACTTCTTACTGTAACTTTTGGAATAAATTTAATATATATTTTCTTATTATTGTAACTCTGCTCCCTGTCGCCGATCTGGTTTTTTCACATTTGGCTTAAAGGTGATATGGACACATGAATCCCACGCCTCACTCGACAAAATGGAATGATGGTGCCTTTTACGCTAACACACTTTTCGAAATAATTTATCATAAAAAAGTATTCAATTGTTTTTCTTACATAGCTTACTTTATAGTTAATATTATGTAAATAATGTATTGCTGTAAATTACATTTACATTTAACATATAAGTAAGTAATTTATTACAAAGAGTAGTAAGTGCATCAAGCGAATTGGAATAAAAGGAAAAGCACATAATTGCTCAGTAGGTGACATATGCATGTATGCAAATTGTTACTCAATCACTAGAAAGTAGTTTATACGTGGTAGAGCCATGCTGCAGCTATATTAATGTTGTAGCACGAATCGGTCGGGTCGACCGGGTAAGAATGACGCTCTCACAGAATGAAATTAGCAGTTTAATAATGCAATGCTTCGTATGGTTTGTGAAAATAACCAGAGGTTTTAGCGGAAAAGAGGCATTCCATTGTAGTCCACGTGAGTGAACGCATCTGCATTTATTAATCGAGGATTGATATAGATGTCTATGGGCCTCAGTATCTACTTACCATCAGGTGGACTGCGTGTTTTTTTAATAGGATAAGGGTGACAAAGAAGCACATAGTCTACCTGATGGTAATTGGTTGCTGTGGCCCATAGACATCTATTACGAATCAAAATGCAGATGCGTTGTTACCAGTAAGGACTAAGATGGAATTCATTTCTAGTAAAAACGGTCTCCCGTTCTCTCTACACTCACCATATGAAACACAGCAGCGTTAAGCAGCTATTTTACGCTGGTATTCTGTGAGAGCGTGGTCCTTCCCCGGTCGAGCCGACCCATTCGTGCTACAACTATACTACTAATAAAGCTGCAGCATGGCTCTACCACGATGAAAATGTGTTGTATATTGCAAAGGGATTATTTGAACTTTAGAGAGTTAGATATTAATTTCGGAAGCGTTTCCGAGTAAATATCTATCGGCGAGTGAGTGACGTATGCAGCGCGCGCTGTTTGTATTGTTTATTTTGTACTCGCAAATACTTAAGTTTAGTTTCCAGAGAATACTAAACTGGAGCGTCTTAGCGCTCCTTTCTGCTCTCTACTTCGCACTAGGGCGCAGCGGCGTACACTTTAGGAACCTCTCGACTAAGCAATATTACAAGGCCAACAACAATCAGAATGGCGTAATAAATAGTTAGATTAAAAACTTGACACACCTCTCTCTTCCTTTACATCACCTATGCATACATTCTTGTTGGTTAAGGGTGGTCTTTTTTCTGGCCCATCTTCAATATATCGCTAATTTTTCAAGATCGTGCCAAATGGAAGTCCGTAGTCTCTGCCTATCCCTCTGGGTGACAGGCGTGAGTGTTTATGTTATGTTTTTTTAAATAAAACTTCAACTCTATTTTTCCACCTTTAGGGGTGGAATTATTCTTCACATCTAAATTGGACTAACCTTGAGGTATTAATATAGACCTTTTTAATTAAAAGCATAGTTTATGCAGGTTTAGCCATTTTTAGGAAATTACTGAACATACATAAACACATGAGCGTTGTATATAGAGCCTTTTCATTATTTAAAGTTGGTCCGGCGGGATGTGACTCGTGTTGCTCTCGTACTAAGCACTGGAAAACTGGAATGTCCATAGACGTTAGGCATTATTTACTTCATATTATTTATTAAAAAACATTCATGTTGGAATTGCTTTTTCCCTGTACCCGAGCTGCGGCATTCATTAATTACATCCAGTAGAAATTCCACTGCTGTAATTGCTCAAAATGGATGTCGGTGCGGTGGTTTTGGAACCTAGGAACCACTCCTTATTGACAAGCAAGGCAAGGTGGCTAAACGCAGTCGTCGGAATTTCTCCGCCGCCTGGATAGACTACAGAAAAGCATTCGACTCGGTGCCTCGTGCCTGGCTGAAGAGGCTCCTTGAGCTGTACAAGATTGACTGTACAGTTAGAGACTTCGTCGGGCAATGTATGCGGCAGTGGAGTACAATCCTATGTCATCTAGGCGAGCGGATGACGGCAGCGGATAAACAAATAAGGATAAGAAGGGGTATCGTAGCGGGAGGGTTATGTTCAGCTTTGATCAGAATTTGCCTCATAGAGTGATATTTGTAGTTGAGGTCATTGCGGCCACCCTAGGCCAATACCAGTCACAATTTCTTTTTGGAACGAAGTTCCTTACCGGACGGTACGGGTTTGGCGGATGGGAGCTAGGCGACAAAAAGTATAAGATGTTTTCGTCACTACCCCTTGTGTCATAGTGTAGACAGCCTTGGCGGCGAAATAAGGAAGTGAGATGGAATAATATCCATCTCCCTCGCACTTTTTCTTATCTTGCCATGAAAGAAATATTATTTTATTTCAAATGACGCTTCATTTTAATAGACGCTAGTAATTCATTTATTTGTGTTTGTTAATCAATAATATAATACCTACATACGTTTATCAATAATAATATACTACGCAAGGAACTTCGTTCCAACCGAGTGTTCCACGACACTCACGCATTTTTTTAATTACTTTGAGTTTGTTCACGAAAATACTGTTGCCCATCTCCAGTTTCATTTCCATATGTCATCTTACGAACCCACGGGATGATATGGGATGATATATTACCTTACGCTGCCACTATATTACCTTACGCTGCCACTAAATTGCAAGCTGCAACAGCTATTTAAAAACATGATTGTAATATACTAAAAGCATACTAACTTGTTTTCGTTTGTTCAACAGGAAGATATGGTGTGCCTGTCATGCACGGCGACAGGCGAGCGAGTTTGCTTAGCAGCTGAGGGTTTCGGTAATCGACACTGTTTTCTCGAAAACATCGCCGATAAAAATATACCGCCCGATCTTTCGCAATGTGTATTTGTAATAGAACAAGTAAGTATTATGTTCTTTTTCCTTATTATCAATTCTATAATTTATTATAATTTTAAGGAAATATATACTTAACGATTCTATTTGATAAGTAACGGCAGCCATATTTATTTTATTCTGACGTCATATGAGTATTTACGTTTTTTTTATAGGATAGGGTGACAAACGAGCACACAATCCACATGATGGTAAATGGTTGCTGTGGCCCATAGACATCTACATCTATCCTCATTTGCGAATCAAAAGGCAGATGCGTCGTCACCCGTGAGGACTAAGATGGAATGCCCCTTTTCCAGTAAAAAGGGTCTCCGGTTCTCTACACTCACCATACAAAACACAGATGTGTTAAGCTGCTATTTTACGCTGGTATTCTGTGAGAGCGTGGTCCTTCCCCGGTCGAGCCGACCGATTCGTGTTACAACTATACTACTAATATAGCTGCAGCATGACTCTACCACGTTTCTCGTGCAATTATAATAAATCGTTATACCTAGTTTAGCTAGTTTTGTGGTGGTTTCTATATGCAACTGCATAGCCTCTAAGTTAGGCGAACTCAATTGTTTGGCGATAAAGTTGAAGTCACATTACCAGAATATACTCTGCAAGGTGTTGCATAATTACATGGCAGCAAAGGTATTGCTGATAATATGTTGAGCTATAGTTATAGTTCTCAGCAAGATTTCCAATTAGATGCAATTTTTGTATCCCATAAATGAGCCTACAGACTTATAAGTTATGTATGTTATGTATAAACATGCTAGCCAAAATTATAGCCCAATTGTGCTCCGCCACATTTGGGAACATTGACGATAAAATTGTTAAAAGTAATATTTTCAATTACGTTAGTACTTGACTCTTTTGCAACTAGCTGTTCCCCGCGACTTCGAACACGCGTAATTTATTACGATAGGATTTCATGGGTTTTAATTTTTTGCGCGAAACCCTAATTGCTTTTCTAAAATAAAAGTAGCCTAAGTTACTTGTTATAACATCGGCTATCTGCCAGTGAAATTCCGGTCAAAATCGGTCCAGCCGTTTCGGAGATTAACCGGAACAAATAGACTGACAGACAGAAAGACAGACAGGCAAACATTTTAAAAATCGTGTTTTTGTTATAAGTACCGTATATACTTTCATATGCATATAGTAAAAAGCTGTTATTTCGACATTACAAACAGACACTTCAATTTTATTTATTTGTATGTATATGTATAGATAAAGTGGCAAACCTTAATTTGGTGAACTAACTCTCATCAAAGTATATTTGATGATTAAATCTGTACCTTTGTGGAATATCAAAATGTACTTACGTGGTAGAGCCACCGTCGAGCTCGAGCACGTGGTAAAAACCGTTGCAGCACGAAAGGGTTGGCTCAATCGGAGAAGGACCAAGCTTTCAAAGAATACCAGAGAAAGATTGTAGCTCCATACTGCTGTTTCGTATGGTGAGTATAGAGAACCGGAGACTTTTACTGGTAACCAGGCAACGCATATGCATTTTGATTCGTAATCACTTACCATCAGATGGACTGTGTGCTCATTAGTCACCTTTATTCTATTAAAAAATATTAGAAAAGACAACTAAAAGAACGCTGACTGAACGTATTATAAACGCTTTGTTAAACTTAATACTTATTTTATAAATCACGTCACGTGTCTTACAAGTGAGTCTAAAGCAATAAATTATTTAGCCAGGCAGACAAGATATCAAGAGGTTTCTAAGTTCTATACGCCAGCATATAAATTATGATTAATGGCTAGTTCACACCAAATAACTTCGTTTGCCCTGAAGTCCCTGTGTTATTACGCCTTTCATATTGCGTTCCCCTAGATTTTTAAATAGCTCCGATGACCTTGTCTGCATTGTTGATAATTTAGTTACATTGGATTCATTTGTAAGGCACGCGAAGAAATTTATAATTGATTAGTGTAATGATCAGATAAAATTATGAGTCATTTTTTAAATAAAAACGAAGAGCAAAGACTTGAAAAACGGATTTTGATAATGATTTCTTATATTTACGCGAACACTACACATTTAAATAAAACTAATTTTACGGATTTTATCGCGTATCACGGGGGGGGGGGGACTGACGTGCATGACGTCCCAATGTCATAGTGAACCACGGCTACCTTCAGATTAAAAATTATTAATTGTTGTTGTCGTGACAACAATTAATAATTTTCGGTGCTGAAAAGTGCCCAAAACGTCGGGAATATATAACAAGTTAATATACGCGATAAAATCCGTAAATTTAGTTTTATTTAAACGGATTTTGAGTTAAAATTGGTTTCTTGTACCTTGTACTTGTCAGAAGTATTTTTTAGTTACATTTCTCACATAAAATTTATAGAAAGACAAAAAAATTTGAGTGAATTAATTTTTTTTGTAGGATTGATTAGATTACATATCAAAATAACGAAAATACAATTCTATTAAATTATTGGATTCTATTATTAAAAACAATATAAAAGTACAATTATTGCGACTATGAAAGACTAGTTCCGCCACAGAATAAATAATAATAGGTACCGCACCCAAACTTCCCGAACCAAATCGAAGTCTCAAACTTAAAGCGAATTTAAAACATTCTCCCTGCTAAAACGCAGACGCACCGCAGACGCATCGTATTCTGTGTTGCCAAGTCTCAACACATTCATTTGCCAATTTAAATAATATTTATATATTAAATTTACAACAACCAATTATATCCTTTCAGGCCTTATCAGTAAGAGCTCTCCAAGAATTGGTGACAGCCGCTGGATCTGAAACTGTAAGTATCTTTAAAATTATTTAATTATTTATAATATTATGGAACTTGTAAATCCTCTGATATGTTATACTAGTAACTGTAAATTAACGATTGAACACCTATCCTCGTGTTAAACTATTCGACTTTTAATTTTCAAAGTAAATTAATCTAAACTGTACTTAAAATAATACCCTTTAATTATCTGTGTAACATGTAATGTTGTGTAATGTAATGGAACGCCTGTTTGTGTAATGTTTGATTATGAAAAGTTTCGAAGATTTTATATTACGTTGGATTGTTGTACATTGTCAGAATTGAGTTTTCATCAAAATAACATGCTGACCCATTATTACATGTAACACAGTTGCCATTTCTTTTTAAGAAAGATTTTTAGTAGCAAATCTGTTGAATGTTTTTTTTTTAATATCAACACATTGTTTTTTGATATTGGTAATTTTGTAATTAACTTATGTTCTATTGTGATTAATATACCCTTTTAAGTATTGCTTTCGTGTTTAAATTTTCCAGGGCAAAGAAAATTTAGTAGTGAGTATATACGCGGGATTTCGGTAATTCTTGCATGCGATGTCATACTCATTGGGATTGGAAAACTTCCAACTAAATTAAATCTTAAATATCATTCTATACATCTAAATCGATTTTATTTAATACGTGAGATTTTATTAATGCCTATTTTGAAATTTGCGCTCATAAACTAATATTTACCAGCAATGACATCGGAACTTACTGTATTTTTTTTATCATAATCATTATCATTTTTTCTAATAAATTCTCATATTTTACACGTCGTTCTTTATAAGCTTTAAACATCTGACTGAGACAAACTGGATGATACGAGTAATATAGTCAGAATGCATGGAGTTTTGTATAATTAGTTTAAATTAAAATACCATAAAAAGATAAAATATTGAGGTGTAATAGTTTTCGGTACTCATGCGCCGATTTCTCCTAGACTATAATGTAAAGCTGTCACATCCTTTTGATACTAAAACGCTGTTCATCTTTGTTTATGTAATAAGTTATTTAAGTAGGTGCGGCTCTAAGATGTTTTTAAAGGTATAGATACGTCATACTCGCTCTAAAATGGCAATAAGAAAGTAAGGTAATTGCCCGACTCGCATTCAGTCGGGCACGCACTTGCGTCGCGACTATACCTTCGCTACAGCGCGTATATCTTCTAATTATTCGTGGCAAAAATGCCTTCCTGTGTTTTTAAGTGATGCACACATTACACGGCAACTGTTAGAGACAAGAAAAACATCTCACTAATATTTTGAATATAAATGTTTTGTTCATAATTGGTTTTATTATTTCAACACTAACCGCTAGTGTGTAAACTTTGACGCTAGCTAGTGTGTTCATTTTCCATATCAGATGTCATGCGCTCGCGCCAATAAGCGCGCGGCAGCAATCAATACGCAACTAATGATGTATATTCATCTTTTTCTAACGATCGGTATGCCCTATCATTTGTCACTTTTTGTTAGCGCAACGTGTCATAATAAATAACTGTACATAGATATAGTACTACCTGCGCCACTTTAAAATACAATAATGTTAATGTGTAACCTGTCTATCTTTTTAATACGTTTTTGGTGCGGCTAGTGTAATAATATCAACCGTCGTTTCATTACGTCGTCGCACAATCAGTCAAATGTGGCACAAGATATATTAGAGTTCATATTCTTCAAACAAAATTATTAAACATTACTGACACCTAACCAATTCCCTTAAAGTTATGAACTAATATTTCAATAACCAACTACTGTTGAATTTAAGAGTTCTGTTACATTTGAAGCATCATTTTAAAATCATATATATCCATTACTAAAATTAAAAAAGGAAACTGCTTCATGAAGTGTGTTCAGATTTTAATCAAGTTTATCAGTACTTCAATCAATATTTATAATAACTATTGAATTAAAAATAACAGCCTAAAAGTCACGGCTTGTGATCAATTTATATTACGCGAGGCAACTTAGTTCGACCTGAATGCCCTCATTATTGTTTTTTTTTATATTTTTATTGAATTTGTTAATTACATTAAATGTTCTCTGTGATACAATACCGGTAAAACAAAAAATTGTACAAACTATGTAAAGGTACAAACAAACTGGTTTGCCGAGCGTGGTGACTCTGGCAATTATCCCCCTATGAGGCAATCTACGGGGGAAGCCTGTTAAACAGTGGATTCTTGATAGCCTGTATTTAAAGTAGGTCTTACCCAAAAACAAATTCAATCAATATTTTATAGCAATTTCTTAAGACGGGGTCTTTCTAAAAGGTCACACGAACAACGGCAAAAGTACAGACTATAACAGTATTGCTGTTTGGAATAGTAGAAGAATAATAACTATAATATGTGAAACAATAAAATTTGTAAATAAATTATTCTTAAAGTATAAACAGATTTTATTGCATGAAAAATTGCGTTTAGCTACGTATATGAATTTACAATTTTAGAAGAAAGAAAGAAAGAAAGAAAAATATTTATTTGGTACACAATCGTAAAAAACACTTAAAAGACATAAACACAGTAATTAAGTTACAAAGAGAATAAAAATATTTTATGCTATTAGTGCACCAAAAAGGTTTCCACTCAGCGTTAAATTCACGAAGTTTAATAATAAGAAACTTCATGAAAGCTGATTTTCAGTGGAACCTATATATAAGAAGGTAGATGGCGATACCGTCAGCTTACACAAATATCTTAAAAACCAAGTAACAGATCTCAAAATATGAAATAATGATAGTAAAAACCAAAACAACAAGGTTATAAAAATCATAATAAAAACAAACAAAGGTACATGTGAGTGTGTGTGTGTGTGTGCATGTGCGTGTGCGCGTGCGTGTGTGCGTGCGTGTATGCGTGTGAGAGAGGGATGTGGAGACAGGGATGAAAATGCTGAGTGACAACTAAGTGCTAGACTTTTGTAAGGAGAGCAAAAACATTTTAAATTTTAACTTGAATGAATTTATGGTTTTCGAGTTTCTTATCGGGGGGGGGAATATCATTCCAGCACTTAGTAGCGGAAAAACGAAAACTACCACGGAAAGCAGCAGTGTTATACGGTGTGTAGTTAAGTCGCGGTGCTGCTCTAACGCAACGCTGTGAGAAATTGAGCTTGTCGTATAAGTAAGAAGGTTCCCCAGTTTTAACTACTCCGAAGAGCAGGGAGGCGAGGTGAAGCTTCCGTCTGGTGGACATGTTCATCAAGTCACGTCGGTTTAGGAATGGAGTGACATGAGATCGAGTTGGTATTGAAAAACAGAAACGTGCGCAGGCGTTTTGTATTCGTTGTAATAGTTTTTTAGTTCTTGCCATTAAGCATTCACCAAAAACAGCGTCACCATACGACAACTTTGACAAAATGAGAGTTTCACACAACTTAATGCGCATATCCACAGTCAAGTACTCGCGAATTTTGTATAAAACTTTAAGTCTATAGAAACAGTTACGCATTGTCTCTATAACATGTTCCTCAAAGCGCAACCTGTCATCCATAATCAAACCCAGGTTCCGAGCTTCCGATACGCGATCAATAGGACAACTGTCAACAGAAATTTGGGGATTCCAAGCTAGGATGTTGTCAATTTGTTTACGTGTTCCAAGCAACATGTACTTTGATTTAGAAGGGTTAATTACCAAACTGTTGTCACTGCACCATTTTGAAATACATTTCAAATCAGCTTGAATTTTACTAGTTGCCAACTCCGTATCGCAAGGTTTAAACGATATAAATAATTGGAGGTCGTCAGCGTATAAGTGATACTTACTAAACTTGATTGTAGTTACGATATCTGATATGTATAATATAAAAAGTAGTGGTCCTAAAATAGAACCCTGTGGTACACCTCTAACAACAGGCATTGTTGACGATACCATATCAGAGCCGTTATCACCGGATATTTTAACGTATTGCAGACGATTGGAAAGGTAACTTGTAAACCACTTTATAGTGGAAATGTCGAAGCCATAGTAGGCTAATTTAGAGAGAAGAAGCGTTATGTTTATCGTATCAAAAGCACGGGAAAAATCAAGCAAGACCAATAAAGTACCTTGCCCAGTGTCCCGTGCTGTTAAAACTTCGTCCACGACATCCAACAATGCCGTAGTAGTACTACGAGACCTTCTGAAGCCGGATTGTTTTTCAGGTAGGATTTTATTTTCTTCTAGGTATTTTGTCATCTGTGTACAGACAATTCTTTCTAAGATCTTGGACATGAATGGTAAAATACTAATTGGACGAAACTCCCCATAGTTACTTGGGTTTGGTTTCTTTGGAATCGGTTTCACAGAGGCTACTTTCCATTTTTCGGGAAAAACGCTCGTTCTAATAGATTCGTTAACCAATCTCGTAATTAGTTGCAGAGTTTTTGGTAAAGTAAGCAATATCATATCTAAAGTAATGCCATCATCACCCCGTGCATTTGTTTTAAATGATTTTATTACGTTTAATACCATTGTTTCATCAACTGTCTTTAATTTGAAAGTATTAATGCCAAATCTATCAAATTCAAAGCGAGTTAAAACTGACAATCTAATGGGGTCTTCACTGATGTCGGGAAGTTTAAGAAAGTATGTATTGATATCTTCAGGATTACATAAATGGGATGCCATATTACAGTCCTCTTTCTTAAAGTTGGCAACACTTTGTTTGATATTTTTCCATAACAGTTTTGGCTTGTTAGTAAAATTGATATATTTATTGAAATATGCTATTTTTTCGCTACGCATTGCCGAATTTACAACGTTTTTCAGATCTTTATAGAATTTTATGTGAATATCTAATTTAGTAGTTTTACTTTTAGCGTATGCCCTATCGCGTAACTTCATCATTTCTTTAATAGTATAGGTTATCCATGGATGTGATTTATTTCTTATTAAACAAGTTCTCATAGGAGCATGAATATTAAAAAGTTCAAGTGTTATTTTTGTAAAATTTTCCACCATTTTATTTAAATCATCATTTATTACATTTTCCCATTCTATACATTCCAGGTCCAGATTAAAACTGTTAATGTCAATTTCTCTTAATGGTCTGTAAGTAATTAATTTAGGAGGTCCTCTAATATTTTTAATATTTAACTGGCATGTCAATAGCGCGTGATTGCAAAGATCGGGAATATGATTAATAGATACACAATGTACATTCGTATTGGAACATATTAAATCAATTAGAGTTTCACTATTTCCTATGAAATGAGTCGGCTGGTTCACATACTGAGTAAGTTTCATGTAGTTAAAGAAATTTTGTAGCTTTTGCGCGTTAGGTTTATGCGTATGTAACAAGTCAATATTGAAATCTCCAAGTAAGATGGTATGCTCGTAATTAGCTATAGAGGAAATCGAATCTGTAAGTGCGTCAATAAATTTGTCTACATTAAGCCAAGGGGGTCTGTATGCTGTACCAATAGCTACCTTGATACCATTAACATTGAGCCCTATCCATATCTGCTCAACAGAGTCATTGTTACCTATTAAAATTCTACGAGCAGTGATACCAAGCCTAATATAAAATCCCACGCCACCTCCTCGCATACGGACTTTAGTTGAACGTGGTAGGTGAACTAAGCGATAACCTGGTGGCGATGGTGCACGCTCTTCCTCACCTTGCTTAAGCCATGTTTCATTTATGGCTAAAATGTCCATGTCGAATCTCAATATCGCTGCGAGAAACTCATCATGGCGGGTTCCCAAGGAGCCAGCATTTAAAAACCCGATTGATAGTCTTTTATTTTTTTTAAATTTAAAAACAAAAGCATACGAAATTTGGCAGTACTTACAATGATCTAAAAAATTGCACAGAAGTGTTAAATGACGCCATCCAATGGACCAAATAAAATAAATAGAATAATTGTTATTTTCATAGAGTATATGAAATAGTGTATCGAAAATGTGATTTATTAAGTGTATGTAGGTAACGTCAATATGTATGGGGAGAAAACAATGCAACGTGAGAGAATAACAACAATTAAATAAAGATTTACAATAAAAGTGGGTGGAAAAATGATTAGCATTAAAAATGAGATCATATTTAGGACCGAACAATACTATTGCCCAAAAACTTTAATTAAATCGCTTTCAAAGCGCACTCGATGATGGGGCTCACCGTTTTCTCTTCTAGCAAAAACTTTACCTTGCCGTGTCCAGACATACTTCCAATTATTGCGTTTCGCTTCTGTACGTACTTTATAAAATAGTTGACGATTATGTCTGGTTAGCCTTTCATTCACATAGAAGGGACAGTCGACGGAATTGAGTCCCAGACCAGCTGTAGTGCAGCCTCGACGGACTCGCGCCGCTGCTAGCAGACTATCGCGATGAACACGGCGTGCCAGCCGCACTACGATGGGGCGCGGCCTAGATGTCTCATTCTGCTCAAGCCGCAAAAGGCCTACACGCTCTGCACTTACTATATCGCGATCTTCTAGCGCTACACCTAATTTAGTTGCTACTGCCAAAACAATATGTGTAGAACGTTCATTTTTGTCTTCGGGTATTCCCGAGACCTCGATATCATTGCTTAAGAGTTCCTGGTCACGGTCATTAAGCTCAATTTTGAGATCCGTAATTGTTTTCTCGAAAAATGATATGTCATTGGACGTCTTTATCTGCGAATTTTTCTCCACCAGCTCCATTCGTGTCTCCAGGCAGTCAAGTCGCTGATTGCACGCATTTATTGCGGTAAGCAGGTTGGTCATCGTTCCCCTAAACTCTTGCATATCATTACGCATTTCTTTGATGTCTTGGCGCAAAAGTTTTAACTCATTTGCCAGATCACAAGTTGGCAAGTTAGGTGTTGATGATGCGGATGCTGAAATGGCCGTAGATTTCAGCTTTTCATTCGTGCGACTACGCAGAGTCACATTTGTACGTCCAATGTCTTGGTTGCTATTTGGTGACAATTGCAGGTTGTGTTTTATTGGTGTGTTGGTATTGTCAGTCTTAGGTTCATTGCTTCTACATTCCTGACATTTCCAGTTTTTCTTATTATCTGCTGACATAATATAAAACCGCTTTTCTGACACGTTTGTGCAAAGAAGATCATAATATTTACAACAAACATGACATTTTAAGTATTGCTTGTCGGTTATTTCTTGCGAACAACCATTGCATTGAATTTTATTTGGTACTAGTGGTGCCATCTCTTCCTCCACGTAAGCAACTCAAATGAAAATGGTGACTTTATCGACTTATAATCTGATCGGCTTAGTAACAAATGTCTATGGATGATTCTAGATGGCGTTGTTTGAAACAAATAAAATTTGAAAGGATTCAAACTTAATTTAACGGTCACCCAGAAAGAATAACTTTTGTAATATTATCTTCCTCGATCAGATTTTGAAGTTCACTTGAATTTAACAGTCCAGAACTAATACTTACAACTTCGATTATAGTCTTGTTCCAAACAAAATACAATTATTCGATTAAATATTTTTCAGCTAATTATCACAAAATATTCACACACACACGACAATATTCGTTGAAAATACTTTCACAGCTCAATTGTATCAAAATGCACTGATTGTAATAACTTTTAGATAAAATAACTCATAAATACTATTTTTAAGCAAATAATTGTACAGAGCCAATGTTACTTGAACGAATGCACGCCATCTATCTCTTATAACGTAAACTCTTTACTTTTCATTATATTTTGACTTAAAATCATAGTTAAGCTTAGTTTATAATTAATCATATTTTTTCACAGCGTTGCTCCATTTAAAACGTATTTAAAATTAATTTGATAAATAATTATAATTAATGGGTTGACTGGTAGAGAATCCCTAATGACATTAAGTTCGACATTTTTTATTTATTTATGGGATTGAAATAATAATTGAATGAATAAAACCCACATCTTCCGTCGGAAGATATAAAATATTATGTATTTTATTTTATTTATGGAACACGTTATAATTAGTTTTTAGTTTTTTTTTTTAAATTATTATTAAATCTTTTGACTAAAGACTGAGATTACGTTTATTGTAATTGATTTTAAGATTTTTCGAAGATATAGCATCAGATTATCGTGTTATAAAATTGAAATTACTATTAAAATAATAAATTCAAATAATATAATATAGTAAAGAGTAATATTGTTTTAAGAGGTGAATAGTAAACCAAAAACGAAAGACGTTGACGAAATTAAATTTGTGCCGCTCTGTACTGTTTGCTACTCTGCTCTCGCGTCTCAATGTATGGTCAAGTTAAAGTCCCTATGATGTTTGTGTTTTAGAGTCATACAATGTAATCTCATACAAACTTATCACTCTGGTTTCAGGGAAAAGGCACCGGTTCGGGTCACAGAACGTTGCTGTACGGTAATGCTATTCTACTGCGACATCTCAACAGTGACATGGTAATATTTTGTAAAAAAATCACGGTTTAAGTTTTTGTTATAAGGTAAGTGAGGGTAATATGGTCACCTTAAGCTTTGCCGCCCTATAAATCCGGACATCCGGAGGAGAACAGAGACAACAACACAAAGTCGTATACTAAGGTACCTGCGGGTAATAAGGCCTAGCTAAGGGAAATTCGAAAATAAAATCAGAAATATCCAATTTTGTCTACCGATTTTAATAAAAATCATTAATTTAGTACAGTTTCTATAAAGTATAAACGAATTGTAACATTTGCCATAAAGAAAAACAAAATTAAACATTTCAAATAACCTTGCCTATATAATATAATAGGCCTTATTGTACGCTGGTAGAATAATAAGGCCTACTGCTTTAACGAACTCAAATAATCAATTTATACGTGATATATTTAATATTTGTGATCTATAATCACATGAATGCAGCAATTAAGACTTAAAATTATAAAAAAGATATAAATTGCCTCGCCAAACAGCACTTAGTCATTAGTATAATAATGAACAAACTGACAAATAAACGCACACCTCCTGATTATCATCAGTGCGTGGGTTGTCTCGAGTTGAGTTGAGTGCTAGGTTGAGTTCAGAATTGGGTTTATTGTTGGGTTGAATTTCCTCCCAACCGAATTTCTGCCTCAGCAGCCAGTCTCAACGGACACTATAATTCTGTACTGCCCATCAGCAAAGTACAGAATTATAGTGCCTGGAAGTATGCGTAAGCACAGGCGCACTCTCTATTCCCTTACAATCATCAAATCACAATCCGACACGGTCCGAGAGAGCTTAGGCGCAGGACTAAAAAGTTTCACATAATTTAATAGCTTCTAATGTCAAAGCCTTAATTCTTCGACACACTTTGTCTTTGCACTGTTTTGATAGCTGAAACCAGGCCGTTTTCTGACTACGTAAAAGCGTACGATTTATTTGCATTTATAACATTTTAAAGGCGATATAAAGTACATACAAAAAAAACTACACAAGAAAAAGGAGTATAATAAGGCCTATGGTGAAATTTAGTAGGCCTTAATAACCGCCGACCAAGTATTTAAGAAAAACCAAATTTAAAAAAAAATACCACTATACGTTACACAAATCTTCAAGATCAACAAAGCATTTATTCATAAAGATAAAGATTACAATTTTAGATAGCTAAGTGTAATATTACAAAACATACCTACGATTTATTTGGACTCATTTTTATTATTGGTGTCGTATCTTATGATAGATAATGCAACTCTGGTTGCAGGACGCGGGGTAGTGCGTATCTACAAACTTGTAGAGACATTATCGTGAAATAGGAGTCTGTTATTAGATAATTATCTCCTTAAGCGAGTGCGGTTATTATAAATACGATTTTTGTTACTTAGGCCTTAATAGCCGACAGGCCTTATTACCCGCAGACACCTTATAATTAATATATTAAGAAAAAATAGCAACCAAACTTAGGCAGTAATTAGGAACACTTCGAAAAATCAATTTAAAAAAAAACTAACTACACTACACAATACTAAAATCGACTAAATTATTTACTATAATGTCAACTCGCAAAATGGCGTCGATAAAGCAGTGCCCTATTGACCCTTTATTATTTGATTAATTGATGAAGTGCTGTCGAATGACAGAGCCATTTATGCAAACAGGGCTGTAGTTATTGAGCTATAAAAAAGTGACAATATTAAACGGATGATCATATTACCCTTACGTACTATATTTAAAAAAAAACGTCACCCCCAGTCAAAGTAAATCTCTTCTATTGTGGAGGTGTTCTAACTACATAAATTGTATATTATGTATAAAGAGTCAAATCCTGATAATCTTTGTAGTCCATGATGAGTACAATCAATTATTTCAACTATTCGGAGCAAATGATTGACACAACCTTTTTACCTCACCTGTGACTGACAGTGTTTTGCTGTTTTGTGCGAATTGTAAATATAATTGTATTACGCGGATAGGCCTTTTCTTTTATTATCTCTTTTCTACTTATTATTCTAAATAAATGTGATAGACGACCAGACTATACTAATATTAAAAGCTCTAGGACGCTGCAATAAATATAGAAACGGTGAAATAAATAATTTCTTTGTGTTCGATCGAAACCGAATCACCTGGTGGAATGGTCTCATAAATCACATAAGAAGCCCGAAAAGATCAATTTAAACGATCGACTTAAATGACCCGGTTCATATGATAAATGACCCGGTTCATATGATAAATCAGTACGGTTCATATGATAATCAATCGGGTCATTAGAAGTGAACAATTGATACATATATACTTCAGACGTAAAACTGGTTCACTCAAAACGGAGACTGGCAACAGCGTCAAAGTGCGATATGTCTGGTAATATTCGCCAATTTGCCTGTCAAGCGTTACGTATATGGCAAATCCTCACTGCAATGAAAGCCGATGTCCCATGTTCAGAAGATAAAAAGAAAGAAATATAAGTGTTTTAATAGTCATGCTATTTCTAATTTCAACTGAAGGTAATATTTGTGTAAGTTTCCAAGGTTGGTAAGATATTCCGACTGTCCTGATATTAATACGTCTTACACAATCGATAGCTTTCACCAAATTCGAAAGTTGGCACCGTGGTAGAAAATGAAAATTCGATCAAGAGCACATTAGTATTTTTATTAGTCATCATCATCGTCGTCGTCATCATCGTCAGATGACGAGGTGATTGGGTATATAAGGTAACTAGTGGATATTCTTACACCACCACTACACAGTAAAATTTTATTAATAATATTTTTTTAAATTTTAATAGTATCTGGCATGTCTGTCTACTTCGTCGTCGCAAGATAAGTTGGCTTTCGACGTGGGTCTGCAAGATCATTCTCATGGAGAGGCTTGTTGGTGGACTCTCCATCCAGCTAGCAAACAAAGGTTTGTTAATACCCTTTTTATATTTGAATAAGATGCAACTTTAAGCGAACTATTAGGAGGGCCGCTCTGAAGGTATTTTAAAAAAAATCTTTTACACCCAATTGCTGGAAGTTCTTTTGGTTTATTTCCCTAATATTAAAATAATACAAAAAATGTACAAAAGAGCGGGTGAAGCTGCACTGTCTCGATTACCTCAAACACTACGCTTTTATACTAAATAAAATAATCGAGTCAGCGTTTTTAACTAACTAGGGTTAGACATAACAGAACCTTGTCTATTTCAATCGAATATAGAATCCGGGTACTTAAGCAAGCACCCGGATTCGATACCTGCCAGTACCTACCAATGAAATTGTTAATTGCAATGTAAAATTTTGTATTTCTTTTGACAAACGACGTGCTCGGCTGTGAAGGAAAACATCGAGAGGAAACTCGTATGTCTGAATGTCTGAATAAAACTTTCCGACCACATGTGAAGTCCAACAACATACGCTGGAGTAACTCTTTCTTTTAATTTACCGCATGCCAGGCGGTGAAGGTAAACATCGAAAGAAAACCTGCAAGTCTGAGAAATGAAACATATCGAGGACATGTGAAGTCAGCCAAACTTGCACTGGAACAGCGCGGCGGGCTAATCAACAGTGAGGTCGCAGTAGAGGAACTACCTTTGCCGTTACAGCTTATCTTAATTTCACGACTTTAAATTGGCTTCCACCATAGATTGCTTCATAAAAACTATAGCTTTACCGTTACCATTACAATCTATTGAAGTCCACTGCTGAACATAGGCCTCCCCCATAAATTGACTCATTTGGGGATATTCGCCATAGTTTCCAGTTTCCACACTTGGCAAGCGGGTTGGAAACCGCAGTGTTTTGTTTTCTACCGACTTCAAAAAGGAGACGGTACTCAATTCGACTGTATGTTTTTTATGTGTGTGTTACCTCATAATTTTTTTCTGTGTGAACCGATTTCGATGATTCTTTTTTTTATTTTAAAGCTGGTGCTTCTCATGTGGTTGATCAAGGTCTGAACAATAGATTTTAAGTTATTCTTAATAGTTTATATTGAAGTCGGTTATATAAAATTTTTAATTTTTAATTATTAGTCGTTATTAGGAAGACGCTGCTGCCCATTTCCTGATTTGTTTCCCTCTGTCGCCTCTTATGACACTCACGGGATGATATGGGGTAGTGGATATTCTTACACTGCCACTATACGGTAATCTATAATACGTTCACTTAATTCTTCTAGTTCATTTTCAAGTAAAGTCTTAAAGATAAGTTTTTTATATATGGTAAAATCACGCTGTAGCTGCATTATAGCTTGCGATTCTTAATTGCGTAAGATGTACTCGTAGGTAGGTGTCTCTGGGGCACAGCATCCACTTACCATCAGGTGAACTGCGTGGTTTGTCACCCTTGTACGAAAAATAGTTGTAGATTTGGTCATAATTTTAATTACTAATAAAGACAATTTCGTATTTAAAGAAGTGACTTACTAATTTATATTTCAGATCGGAAGGTGAAAAGGTGCGAGTTGGTGACGATTTGATTTTGGTGTCCGTTGCTACCGAAAGATATTTGGTAAGTTAGAAATGTTTTAATCAAACTCATTATAAACAAAATAATTTAGAAACTACATGGGCAATCCGACATACCTATTTTGTGTCGTTTAATCACTAAAGTTAATCATATTTATAAGTGCCAGTTAAGAACGGGTTGATAAAAGGTTAAAAACTGCAAAATAATTTAGTTGAGCATTTTTACTTAATTCTCGTTCAAATACAAATAATAATATCGATAATATCGTTATTAGCGATTATTTATATTATCTATTTAATTAAATATGATTTAATTATAAAAATCCATATTATTAATAATATGGGCAGTATATTTTGAATTAAAACCGATAACGTAAAGTTGATATTATGAGTATTAGGATTTGCTATCTACAGGGTAGACTTTCGAATGCAACTATTCTTTATGTCACTGAAGGCAACACTATTGTTAAAGACAGAAAGAATAGTGTTGCAGTCGATAATTGATGTTATTAAAGGTCTGTCTATTATTTCATTTACATATTTTTAATTTTGCAGCACACTACAAAAGAAAACGAGGTGTCGATTGTCAATGCGTCGTTCCACGTGACCCACTGGTCTGTTCAGCCTTACGGTACCGGTATATCCAGGATGAAGTACGTAGGCTACGTGTTTGGTGGTGACGTGTTAAGGTTCTTCCATGGCGGCGACGAGTGTCTCACTATTCCCAGTACATGGAGTAAAGACGGTGGGCAGAAGTGAGTAATGTTTTTACACTGAGGCTTATGAACGGTACAGCTATTGCTAAATTCGGCAAATGTCGATCCGGTTCGAAGGATCATAATATGTTAGGATTTCTTTTTTATAGGATTTTGAAAAATATATATCAAAACAAATAACAAGATTTATTGCTAAATATAATCTTGTTAAAATTATGCTGTGTGATCATAAATATAATTTTGGTGTAAATGGTGATGCGAGATAGTTGGTTGGTTGCCAAGTGACATGCAAGTGAAAATCTACATCACACTTATTGACTTTTTAAATTAAGAGTGTGAGACGCTCTACAAGTATTGGGCAAAAGCCAACATTTGTATTTCGTTGTAAAAGCCAGTAATAAGCACTAGAGCCGGACCCGATAGCAAACACATCTACTTTGATTGTCGTCTCAAAATTAAAATAAAACATGGTCCTCACGTTGGCGTTTATACAGGATTATTTTGCAATAACCGGCCAAATTTGCATAGAAGGTTTAGAATAAGTAATATAGGCAAATGGTGAAGAAAAATAAATTAAAAAAAAGTCTCAAACATACTGTCCTTTTTATCTTTTAAATTCAAAATGCGTGGCAATGCATTATTTTAACTGATTGTCATTCATAAAAATCTAACGCGTATTATTTTACTACGTACGCGCACATTCGTAAGGGTCGCTCGGTTGGTAAATATGTACGTTGTGAATTGTATCGCACACGCACACAGAGGCGCGCTCGTACGCGTAGTTGTTGTCCGTAAATCATATTCAATTTGGGATAATCTCAAATAAAAGTAGAAGCCTTATTTACTCGTATTTTCAAAAACTGCAATAAAGGTATATCAATATTCATATATTTAAACTTGTGTTTAAAATTTGGCTGCTCTTTGAAATATATATGTATATGTATATAACGGATTATTGAGTCGTTCCGAAAAATCATTTCGTAATGTTGTTTTCAGTATCGTTGTATACGAAGGAGGTTCTGTGATGTCTCAAGCTCGTTCTTTATGGCGATTAGAGCTCGCCCGTACCAAGTGGGCCGGCGGCTTCATAAACTGGTACCATCCTATGAGGATCAGGCACATAACTACTGGCAGATACTTGGGGGTGAACGATCAGAACGAATTATATTTGGTCAGCAGGTAAGATTATTTTGTAGAAAACATTAGTCAGTATTTACTGCACAAATTTAAACCATATTCTGCTTGAAATAAAGATCATACTCTGAATTAATGATAATTTAATCGCCGTGTATTAGTGGCATTACACCATATCATCGCGTAGGAGACGTAAGAGACGACAAAGAAACCAAAAATAATGTGCTTGCTAATTTGCCTACCAAGCGTGGCAACTATGACAAATATTGTTGCCATAACAGTAAAATTTCCCTAAAATGGAGGAAAAAAATATGGAAGAGCTATCTAATACTAGATAAGAAACTCAATAATCAAGCTCTTCTTTTAAAAAACTTCAGTGACGAAAAATGTAATGGAGGCGCTTGATGAAAAGATGAAATTTGTATGGAAGAAAATAGTACCCTCAAAACAAAAATATCTGAACTAGAAATGTAAGTAAAGTTTTGAAAGATAAAAAAAGGAGAAACAATTTAGTATTTTTTGGAATAGAAAAAATAGGATAAACCGAATGTAGTCACTATTACTACGCTATGGAAAAAGCACTTGATATTGCGAAACAATTCCAAACTTTTGCAAGGAATATACATTAAGGACGATTATTTTAAAGAAGTGCTATAAAAACGCAAGCAGCTACAGGTACAGGTTGAAGAAGAAAAGAAAAAGACTTAATGTATCATTCATAAGATACAATAAATTAGAAGTAAAGAAAACAGAGATAACTACCCAGAAAAGATAAATACAGAAGAGTCAGGCTCGCCAAACTATTCAAATCAAAAGAAAGCTACCGCTACCGTTTTCAAGACACAAATCAACTTAGCGACCAAAACTGTAGGAAAAGACACTATAAGACCTAACATGCTCAGCTATGTGGAAAGAGGAAAATCAGGTTCGATATCAGAAATACCAAAAAACCTGTAAAAAGCATCGACACCCTGAAATGAGACAACGCATCATCAATAAAAACAAACTTTTTCTAAAGGCATCCCAATCCGGCCAATCACCATGGGAGAAGAAGACTATTATCCTCCAACTAACTTATAATTACACATTCCTTTTAAAAAACTTCGCCAAATAGCAGATAAAATAAACACACATTGCGACAAACAATACGTTGTCTTTAGGAACCAATGAGAGTCTAACGGAACTAAAGCTAGCTCTAGAAAATGTAGTGGGTTTGAGTGTCAATACTGGGTTTGAGTGGAGCTCGACGCCTAGGGGAGAGTATAGGAGACCATAGACAGTTTATATTTTATTATATAGGGGAAACACCAGACTTACATGGAACAGGATTGTTAATAAAAAATGAATTAAAACTATTTATTGACGAGTTCATTGGCCTCTCAGGTCGTATTGTAATACTTAATATAAAACTACTTTTGTGCAAAATTGATTGTGCAAGTCTACTCTCCAACTGAACAATCAAGTAGAACATAAATCGACACCTTCTACTCCATGTTACAAGACGCAATAATCAAAAACTCGCATAACAAATGATATTGGACCCGTATTGTTCAGGCAAAAGAACAAGAAATGGGGAGAAACTTGTCCAATATGAAAACAACTTAAAAGTACTAAACACTTTATACAGAAAACGTGAGAACAACAGATGGACATAGATATCTCCAGATGGTCACCGCAAAAACGAGATAGATCACATAATAACAAACAAAAGTAAAGACTTTCGGGACTGTAGAGTCTTAAACAATATTAATTTCAACAGCAACTACAGGATGATAAGAGTTGCATTACAAATAAACACACTCAATAAAGATAGACCCTTTAAAGTAAAACAAACCAACACCTTAACACTAGAAAATACCGATTCACTAAAAGGTAAGCTAGAACAATTCATAGAAAAAACAAAGGACTTAAACATACAGAGTAAACACAATAAATTCCAAGAACTTCTCTACACTACTAAAAGCGGCAAAATGGAAAGCAGAAACAACAGGACAAAATGGGTAACAAACAATACTAAAGAACTGATAAGAAATAGAGCAGACCGTATATACAACCCTGAAAAGACAAAAACTATAAGAAAAGACATAGCCATTATAAGTAATAAAATAAAACATACATGAGAAAAGACCGTCAGAGATATAGATTGGAACAACTGGAAAAATGCATAACCGGAGGCACCAAAAAGCAGCTAAACTACTATTGGAAAAACGAGATTGGATACCAAATTTAATAAATAAAAATCATAAATGCAGAAATCATATCAATAGCCACTAAATTTTTGAAGAATTGTATTCAAGTAAAAACACTGCACAAACAACAACCCTAACAGAAGGAAGTGAAGTATATAATACACAAGGAAATAGAAAAAGTTGTGAGAACTCAAAAAGCAGATAAAGCTCTAGGATTAAATGGCATAAGTAACTAGTTCCTCATCCTAGATAGAAACCACCTGATACCAATTCTCAAACATCTTTTCAATGAAGTCTTACAAAGCGAGATAATACCTTACCAATGGACAACTTCATCAATAGTACTTCGTAACTGTACTCGTAAGTCTATCGTCGAATATATATATAATCTAACGCGTACTATATAAGTTATATAGAATAACTAACATTAAGATGTTACCAACCAAGAGAGCAGGCGGGTTTCAGGAGCGGATCCTCAACTTTAGATCACATTCATGTCCTCAAGCAACTATTCGAAAAAGCCAATGAATTACAGTAAAGCTTTCGATACAACAGAGCTTGAAAAAATCTGGTAGACACTAAAAACCAAGGTATTGAAAATAAATAAATCAGAATACAAAAATATATCTACGATAACAGCAAGGCTAAGATAAAACTAGAAAAGGAAGGTAAATTATGATAGAAAGAGGCGTACGTCAGGACGACCCGCTATCGCCGAAACTCTTCACAGCTGTTTTGGAAGAAGTCTTTCTTCAGTGACGGACTTCAGGCGATGCTCAATGACCTGGTTAGAGAAAGTGACAAGGTAGGATTGGTCATGAACACTTTAAAGACCAAGGCTAACCAATGGCAAGGAAGAGCCTATTCTGATCAATAATAACCCGATTGAATATGTCAATGAATACATCTATTTAGGCCAGATAGTATCTCCTGTAAATCTAATCTCAAAAGAAATTGACAGACGCATTGGAAATGCCTGGGAACAATTTAGGAGCCTAAAAGAAATAAAGAAAAATAACGATACTAACATAACCATCAAACGGAAACTCTTTGATACCAGCATACTACCTATACTCACTTATGGCTGCCAGACCTGGGCACTCACTAAAGCACACATTAAAAGTTAGGAACTTGCCAAAACTCCATGGAAAGGAGTATGGTGTAAAAAAGACTATCCGATAGAATAGTAATTGAAACCATAAAGAAACACACGAAAACAAAAGATGCCACAATAACAATAAAAAAGTTAAATAGGAAATGGTCAGGCTATATAATTAGAAGAAAGGAAAAATGGTCCAAATCAGTAATAAACTGGTTTACAGCTCATATGTAAAAGAAAAAAGGTAGACCGTATAGAAGATGGAAAGACGACATTAAAGCCATAGCAAGAGGCATATAGACGAAAACTGCTAAGGATAGAGAGAAATGGAAAATTAATTAATTAATATGGAATATATAATAATATGGAATAATTAATTATGGAACAACTACTTACAACACATCAAGAAATGGTGTGATGAATTCTTTGACACCACCAGCACTCTTCAATAATTACCTATAACTTTTAACAAAAAGTAAAACCGACGTCGAACTGATAAAAATGAACTTGTTTATTTGCTAACCTTAGAGGTGACATTTTTTCTCCAAATTTGTATGGGACTACCCTTGAAGTATAACCTATTCAATAAAAAAAAAGAATCGTCAAAATTGGTTCACAATCTGCGAAGATATCGCGTAACATACATACAAAAAAAACTCGAATTGAGAACCTCTTGCTTTTTGGAGTTGGTTACAAAATAGAACTACTTTTTAATTATGTTACGTGGTTACAAATAATTACATTGTTCACCTAATTAATTTTTCAGAGAAGAGGCGACTACGGCCTCTTGCGCTTTCTGCCTACGTCAAGAGAAAGATGACCAGAAAGTGGTACTTGAAGACAAGGATCTTGAAGTCATCGGAGCCCCAATTATTAAGTACGGTGACTCCACCGTCATCGTTCAACACTCTGAGACTGGGTTGTGGTTATCGTATAAGGTAATTTAAGGACTATTTATTAACACGGTTTTATTTGGTTTGACATGTATGTGTGTATGAATGTAACAGACTGTACTTTCTTGTTTTCTTTGTTTAATTTTACTTTTAGTACTGAATAATAATTAATATTTTACAAATTCAATAATTTTGTACACCAGAAATGGTTAGTGTGCTATATTTTTTTATAAAAACTGTAGTAACTTAGTTTTAACGTGGTAGAGCCATGCTGCAGCTATATAAGTAGTATAGTTGTAGCACGAATGGGTCGGCTCGACCGGGGAAGGACCACGCTCTCACAGAATACCAGCGTAAAATAGCAGCTTAACACTGCTATGTTTCGTATGGTGAGTATAGAGAACCGGAGACCCTTTTTTATTGAAAACCAGGCATTCCATCTTAGTCCTCACGGGTGACAACGCATCTGCACTTTGATTCGTAATTGAGGATAGATATAGATATCTGTGGGCCACAGCAACCACTTAACATCAGGTGGACTGTGTGCTCGTTTATCACCCTATTCCTATATATAAAAAAAAAACTGTGAAACACACACATTATGCAAAAATAAATAAGTAAATAAATAGAATCTTGTAATTCAAATTATACTCCCTTCTGGCCGTCTGAATAATTTAAACTTTTGCAGACGAATTAAGAACATTGGGTTTTGCTGATGAACTTTTTCGTTAAGTTGAAGGGAGAGGTTGGCCAGGAGAGGGGTCAGAAAATTACGTAGGTAGTAAGTAGGATTTCATTGCCATCCATCGGTAGCATCTTTCTGGTATTCTCCTTAGTCGCTTCTTACGATATTTTCGAGACAAATGGTTGATATATTCTTCGCCCCCCCCCCCCCCCCCTCGGCATCACACTAATCATAAAATACTTATCAAATCAAATTCACAATTTGTTCACCTATAATATTTAAAAAATTGTCTATGTCTTTCAGTCGTACGAGACGAAAAAGAAAGGCGTTGGTAAAGTTGAGGAGAAGCAAGCTATCTTACACGAAGAAGGCAAAATGGACGACGGTCTTGACTTCTCCAGGTCACAGGAGGAGGAGTCTAGAACTGCAAGAGTTATTAGAAAATGTTCTTCTTTATTCACCAAGTTCATTAAGTGAGTATAAATTGAATTTTTAGCCGACTACAAAAAAGAGGAAGATCTCAACTCGACTGTGTTTTTTGTATGTAACATAACATACATACGCGAAATCTTCGTCAACTGAGAACTAATTTTTATGATTATTTTTATTAATTAGGTTATATTCGGGGGCGGTCCCATATACAGAATTATTTTCCAACATACGGCTTAATTTGCAGAATAGGTTCTGAATAATCAATATAGGCGAATGGTGGAGAAAAATTAATTTAAAAAAAATCTCAAATATTTTGTCCTTTTTATCTTTTTAATTCTTCATAATGCGTGGTAATGCATTATTTTAACTGATTGTCATTCATAAATATCTAACGCCAACTATTTTACTACGCACGCACACATTCGCAAGGGTCGATAGGTCGGCAAAAACGTTGTGAGTTGAATCCCAATTTGAGATAATTTAAAAAAAAAGTGGAAGCCTCGTATTTTCAAAAACTGCAATAACTGAATATCATTATTTATTTCTAAATTGAAACTGAAGTATAAAATTTGGCTACTCTTTGAGAAATAACCTTGAATATTTGGAGCATACATTACACCCCTAAGGGTGGCAAAATAGAGGATGAAATTTTAAATGGAACTATTTGGACGACATTGACATTGTGATACTCTTTAGTCCACTCGAAGGGGTAAAAGAAATAACTTTGAATAAAAATTAAAAACCGATTTCAAACAATTAAAATATCTAATAATTTCAGAGTCTTAAGTTGGTGAGACAGACACAGCGGCCAGATTTAACGGAGACTGCATAATTGCATAATTTAATTCCTCCCTCTCCCTTCCACCATCGGACAACCAGACGTTCGGCCAATCTCCACTCTTTCGTTGTTGACGTACCACGCATTCGAACCAAACGGTTCGCTACTTCGTTCATCATGCGTACAGCAAAGGGGTGGAATAAGTTGCCAGCATCTGTCCTTCTATCCGATTACAGTGTGAGTGTCTGCAAGGCAAGAGTGAATAGGCTTTTGTTAAGCCAGCGCGCTTCACCATCTTAGGCTACATCACCACTTACCATCAGGGGGGGATCGTAGATAAGCGCTGGCTTAGTAGAATAAAGGGTATGCGCAAGCACAAGTGTTCTCTGTATTCCCTCACTGTCACAGTCCGATGCGACAGAGAGAGATCAGGCGCAGGACCAAGGGCTTTACCTGCTTTACGAGGCACGAGGATGATACGCCCCCAACTTCCCGATTCCGGGCCGCTATTGAGAATTCCTTGACAAAAAACCCAATAACTAATTTTGGCCCGACCCGGGATTTAAACCCAGACACTCGTGATTAGTGAGTCAGTCATGCAATTTATATAATGACAGGAAAATTAACATTACATAAAATTGTTTACAGTGGTCTTGAAACCCTGCAAGAAAATCGGCGTCACTCAATGTTCTTCGCTTCGGTCAACCTCGGCGAGATGGTGATGTGCTTAGAAGATCTGATCAATTATTTCGCACAGCCGGATGAGGATATGGGTAAGTAATAATTACTTAATAATTGCATCTTGGTTCAAAGTTTACGAGAGATGGAAAGTGTTAGAGTGATATCGTAAGAAGAGCGAATGCGGGAAACATGGTGAATGGAGCTTTGCACTCCTTTATGAGCAGTCGGAAGGTGTCTAACAAGTTCGTTTAGCTGTGCATGAGGGGGTGTTAGTTCCGACACTCATGTACGGAAGTGAAAGTTGGATATGGCAGAAGAAACATGAAATTAGAATAATTGCAGTTGAGATGAGTGCGTTAGGAAGTATGATAGGAGTTAAACTGAGTGACAGGATAAGAAATAGTGAGAAGAGAAAACGTTGTGGTCTGAAAGAAGATGTAGTGACAAAAATTGAGAAAGGTATGCTGAGATGGTTTGGCCATGTCGAGAGAATGAATGCAGGAACGATTGACGAACAATGTGTATAAGGCGAGTGTGAATGAAAGTGTTGGAAGGAGTAGACCTAGGCGGACGTTTCTAGTAGAGATGTTACGGAGGTTCCGTTTGATTTTGCACCTTCGATTCCGATTTCGGTTCCGTTAAATTTTAATCGGAAGTTATTTATCGGAGGTCGAAGCACAGTGGTAGCGGCGGCCGCGATCAGCGTGTACAAACAATTTTATACTTGTAGCCTCGGGAAGCTCCCTCCCCCCGTGCCTTCTGTCGATTACTCTTTAACTTTATGTTTTGTTTCGTATTTGGCAATTAGCATGTTGTGCGTTTCGCGCTTCATTTATACATATCCGAGTTTTTGATTAGTTTTAGTAGCATTTTTTGACGTGTAACAAATTTATTTGAATTGGACAATGAAGCCAAAATCAAGTGCCATTTGGAATTATTTCAATGAAGTTTCTGAGAATACGGCAAAGTGTTAACTATGTGAGAAGATATATTCACGAAAGGGAGGTAGGTACGACTACTTCGTTAAAAAGTCATTTAAAGTCTGTGCATGCCACTGAATACGAAGAATTCAAAAAAATTGAAACTGAAAAAAAAAATACAGTGCAATAGACCTGCGCTTAACACATCTCTTCTGCCTCCACCTCCGAATCCGGTTCCGATTTCGGTTCCGGTTCCGATAAACAAAATTTAAAACCTCCGCTTCCGAATTCGGTTCCGATATAACCACTCCGTAACATCCCTAGTTTCTAGAACAAATCAGGGACGTCTTGAAAAAAGGCCAGGTCAAGAGTACCCTAAACCGAAGATCATGTATGAAGAGAATAATGAAAGTGGACGAAGCGAAACAGGTATGTAAGGAACGTAGTAAGTGGAAAGAAGTGGTATGTGCCTACCCCTACGGGAAAGAGGCGTGATTATATGTATGATTGACCTTCAAGAAATGATTACTCGTAACACACTTAAATTAAGATTTTTTTTGGCAGTCCAGACTTTAAAACCTATTTATAAATAAGCCTCTTCAAAAATGTGCCAACAGGCATGTTTTTTTGTAATCACAGCTACATACATTTCGATAAGTTACTGAGCCAAGCACTCCCTTACAGCCCATAAAAGTCCCCTGGTGAACATAGGCCTCCCTCGTGGATTGCCTCATAGAGATATATATCATAGTAGCCACGCTTGGCAGGCGGGTTGGCAAAAAAAATTATTTTTTATTATTAAGTTATTTAGAAGAAGTTGCTGCTGCCCATCTATTGTTTCTCCTGGTATGTTTTCCTCTGTCGCCTCTTACGACACGTACGGGATGGTATGTAGGTGGTATGACGGTAGTGGGTGATTGCCCTTCCAATTGAACCGACAAAAATTTGATGAAATTTGAATTTGGAATTTTTGAAATCCTATTCGGATATCAGTTGGTGGGAGACTTTTTTGTTTTGTCAGTTGGCACTGCGTGCAGGTAACAATCTGGCCACCTACATTTAAAAAAGAAATTCTTATATTTTCTCTCTTTTTTTTTCGTTAGCCAGTAAAAACCCAATGTTGGGTATGGGCCTCTCCCGTCGTAGAGATTATATGCTTTAATCGTCACACTTGCAGGCGAATTGACTATCGCATTGTCAGACTTGAGAACCTTTGACGCTGCTCCCAGTCTTACGTCTGACGTAAATGAGACAAATAAATAAAAAACCTACCTTCCTTGGCAGTCGGTTAAAAAAGGAAATTCAAAAGACTATTTAATTATAGCCCATGAAAATATATGCTGAACATAGGTCTCCGCAATAAATTTCGATATATATCATTGTTACCACGCCTGGTAGATAGTTTGGAAACCGCAGTTTCGTATTATTTTGAGATGTTGTCAGGTTGGTCTCAGATATAAGCTTTAAACAGTTGTGTATCACAATTGGCTTAAATAAGGAAAAACAAATAAATAATCAAAGAACTTACCTAATTTCAGAACACGAAGAAAAACAAAACAAACTCCGCGCTCTCCGCAACCGTCAGGACTTGTTCCAGGAAGAAGGTATTCTTAATCTCATCCTCGAGGCGATCGACAAGATCAATGTCATCACTTCACAAGGGTTTTTGGCCGGGTTCCTCGCTGGAGACGAGTCTGGACAGAGCTGGGAGATGATCTCTGGATATCTTTATCAACTATTAGGTAAGGTCACTTAGGCTCATGAGCAATTTTGATTTTTGAAAAGATCTCAACAATTTCAGCGCTATTCAGCTTCTTCTATTTTTCTTTTTAATTAAATATAATGGAAATCAAATATAATCAATTCTTATAATAATGAATAATTGATGATTTAGATATTATTATGCCGACAGAAAGAAATATAATAAAGATTTGACTTTTGAGAATTGATGTGATAATAACATGAAGAGGGTGTCCAAAGAGTATATAATAACTACATTTTAGTCGTGTAAAATACACGAATAAAAATTAAAACTTAGATTCTAAATTTGAATGAAAGCATTTAGAACTATCGCTGCATTATATAATATGTACCTTAATATTTTAATATTTTTTTTTCACAGCGGCAATAATTAAGGGCAACCACACAAACTGTGCGCAATTCGCTAACTCCAATCGACTCAACTGGCTCTTCTCGCGACTTGGCTCGCAGGCCTCGGGGGAGGGTACGGGAATGTTGGACGTACTCCATTGCGTACTCATCGACTCTCCTGAAGCACTGAATATGATGCGGGTGAGTATTGGACAAACAACATGGCATTAAACAATAATTTAAATATAGTAGAGCTATACTGCAGCTATATTATGGTTGTAGCACTATTCGGTTGGCTCGACGCTCTCATAGAATACTAGCACAAAATAGCGGCGTAAGAGGATTGTGAAACTGTAAATAATACAAAAAGCCATAATGTTTTTTCTCCCGTAAACATAGTATAATTTTCATAATTTTTAGTAATGTTGTAGATATAATAAAAAACTAGGTCTGTGAGTTTTTATTTAATAAAATATTACTTACGATATATTGTGTTATTAGCATCAAATTTTTTAATTTTTATTAAATTAAACTTAACCAAATTACTAAATAAATAATAGTTTTAAAAAAAACTAAAAAACACGCTTTTGTAGATAACCGAACAAAAAAGAAGAAAATAATTTTCAATAAGTTTAAAATAAGAAAATAGTGACTAACATAAAAAAAAAATTTAATTGTAAAAAAGCGTGGGGTGCTTCATGTCCTTTGTTGTAAATATTTTTTATGGATATTTGTTAAATGAGCGTCATCATAAAAATATCTGAAAAAGCACCTCACGCTTTTTACAATAAAATTATTTTTTTTATATGTTAGTCACTATTTTCTTATTTTAAAGTTATTGACAATTATTTTCTACTTTTTAGTTCGGTTGTCTACAAAAGCGTGTTTTTTTTTTAGTTTTTTAAACTAATTATTATTTATTTTAATATTTTAGTGCGGCTAACTAACTACAAGACAGTGTTTTTTTGAATGAAGTTTTTTACGCGCTTTACATGAGTGTAGAGGACCGGAGACTCTTATTACTGGAATTGAGGCATTCCATCTTAGTTCTCAGGGGTAATAACGCATCTCCATTTTGATTTTTATTATAGGAGAAATGAAGATGTGTATGGGCCGCAGCATCCACTTGCCATCAGGTAGACTGTACGTGGAAAATATGTCAACGACGAGACGAGATTCAGATAAATATTTTTTTGTTTAAAGTTATTGTATAAGAGCAATTTAAATATCTCTTTCTTGCTGCGTTTAATTTTTTTCTTCATTACATTTTTGCGATAGTTGCCAAAAAACATGTTCATCCCATGATTTTTTTTACAAACTATATCTAATAATAACCCGATATGACCTGGATTCAAATTCCAATCACACAAAAACAAATATCTTGCAAAAGCACAAATATCGATTTTTGGGATCGTGCTGTATATTGTACTCGTGTCTCAGAAAACGTTCGTAAACTGTTATAACCTAAAACTGTTTAAATTTTTTCCAGGACGAGCATATTAAGGTGATCATATCTCTGCTAGAGAAGCACGGGCGAGATCCAAAAGTGCTGGATGTGCTGTGTTCGCTTTGCGTTGGTAACGGTGTTGCGGTGCGCTCTTCCCAGAACAATATTTGCGATTACCTCCTGCCCGGAAAGAACTTACTTCTTCAGACGCAATTAGTTGACCACGTATCTAGGTAATTATTGACCGAAAAGTTATTTCATTTTTAGATATATAACTACTGTGGCCATTTGTACGCACACATGTTAAATTATTAGATTCACTCACTAACACATTCACATTGTTCGAATTTCTTCCACTCGGTACCCCTGCCGCATTAATATGTGATCGAACAACGCATCACTAACAAGCCTAAGGTCCTGTACCTATATAAAAAAACTACATATGTGCATAAGGTTACCATATCTCAGGATTTGTCCTGAGATTTCAGGATTTTTAGACTCTTCTCAGGATTGCGGCTGTATTTTGCAAATCTCATGAAATCTCAGGATTTTTAGAACTTTCAATATAATACAGCTTACATTTTAAAGGTCTCTTTAATAAAAAGTTAAACAAACTAAAAATAATTTTCCTTTGGTAATAATTCCACAATTAAAATCAAAACTTATTTATCCAAGTAGGTACTTAAACAGTTTTAACATACTTAATATGTGAAGATACCTTTTTAAGTAAGGTTTTCTTCTCAAACTGTAAAAAAAATCTCAGGATTTTTAAATGCAAATCAGGCCTCTTCTCCGGACTTTTAATATTTTCATCTGGTAACCCTATGTGTGCAGGTCACACGCAGTAAAAGTGAAATCTTCAGAAAACTAAACTCCGAGAGAATGAGGAGAATGCAGTGTATCATGAGTATGATAATTGTAGGGTTTATTCATAATATTGTTCATAAGTTTGTCTCAACTCTTTTAGTGTCGCTTTTTCGTTTTATCTAGGTTCAAATAACAACGATTCTAAAGGATAATTGATAGAATCAGGCGTTACTTTGCGGAAATCCATTATAATGGGGTTGTTATAAACTAATTTGCTTAATTCCGCGTAAAGAAAGAAAATGATGTGTTCTGCCCAGTCTTAAGGGGACCTCCCACCCTCCCTCAATCGCGCGCACTATACCCGTCGCCGTCAATCCCAGCACTACCAGCACCACCACACTAGGCACGACACACCACTCCCGAAAATACGACACGTGTTTCGCCTCTACACGAGGATCCTCAGGTGAAGTGGTTAAGTACTTCACCTGAGGATGCCTCGTGTAAAGGCGTGCTTAAGTACTTCACCTGAGGATGCCTCTGTATGGGTATCAAAATATATAAAAATATTCCTAGAGATATTAAAATGGTCAATATCAATATATTTAAACACTGTTTGTACAAATGGCTAAGTCAGGATAACGTTTACAGCATAGATTCATTTATCTGTACCAAAAACATAACATAGATTAATATAGTTACAAAATCTTATTTTAGTCAATTTTTATTCGTTGACATATTTGGTAATAATAATTATTATATTAATAGTATGGATTGACATCTAATCTCATTATAACATTCCTAAATTCAATGTATTATTTGCATGCTATTTTCATTACGTCGAAACATATACGCTCTTTCAAACTTGTACCAGCCTATAATACTGTGTTTCTAAGCAAATAAAGAAATGATTATTATTAATATAGTAAGCAGAAAAAAAGTTCTGTGACAGATGACTAGGCTGATCTATAGCAACTAGTAATTTACTATAATTTATAAGCTCACTTTATATCATACTGACCGTGTAGTGGCGGTTCACTACCTCATTTCATCCCGTGAATGTCATTTGAAGCAACAGAGGGAAACAAATGAGGGCTAATAATTTTCTGCTAACCAGATGTCGCTAGTTGACACTGAGGTAAAGTTTTTTGTTACACAATGTCATTTAATTGAGAAGTTAGTTTTAAATAAAAGTTTATCAGTTTCTAGAGTGTTATAATAACACACAAAACAATTCCTCAGTGGTTCGCTCTTTAATTTCTTGCACATTTTTAACTTTTTTAAATTTTTCTACTTTTATCGGTGGTTTGGTTTTTTTATTTTTAATCTAATTAATATAAAATATAGCTAATAATACAGAAATAAACATTAAACTTTACATTTTCCGAACTAATTAACTTCCCCGCTATGAAATCTGTCAATTATTATACCTCACTTTTAAGTGGCGTCGCCCTGGTGGCAGAAAAAGTCGTGGATGACCTCATTGGATGATTGGTAGCAGTGTGTTCTTAATAACTAGTAAAAATACATAACTGTGGTATCCAACTCGCCTTCCAAGCATAGCAACTGTGGTAAATATCCACATAATATTATAAGGAATATATGGAATATGCTTATGGAAGAGGCCTATGGGCCGTAACGATAATGGTTACTTAATGTTATACAAACATAATACTATCATCAATTGATCGTTACTGACTACTTTTAGATATTTATCTCACTCACACACATTGTATTCATTTGGATACAATGTGTGTGAGTGATAATCGTAAGACACGTGTTTTTGGCAGCAAACACGCTAATCAGACCGGATTCAAGTAAATACTTTATTTCACACTCCCCTAAGTCCCCCATCTGGAACTAGAAGTATTAAGTTAACTAATTCTACTTATGCTTTCATTTTCAATAGTGTACGACCAAACATTTTCGTTGGTCGCGTCGAAGGGTCCGCAGTATACCAGAAATGGTATTTCGAAGTGACAATGGACCACATTGAGAAGACAACGCATATGATGCCGCATCTCCGAATCGGATGGGCGAATACAACAGGGTATGAGACAGTATTATGTTTTGATATTTTTTTATTTCTACAATCGTCGCTGCTTTTGTTAGTAATCGTGTAACTTCTGAACGTATTGACCGATTGATTTCATGTGAATACGATTTTCCACTTATATTCGTTTTGCCGATACAATAGTTCAGTAGTAGATATGTGGTAGTAAGTTATTGAAAAATTCTATAAGATATCCTGAGGGTAATGCGGTCACTTTAAGTTTTATCACACTATAAAACCAAAACTAGGAGAAGGACAGAGACAAAAACACAAAGTCGTACTATAGTATATATGTATATGTATGTATTAAGAAAAAAAAATAGCAAACAAGCTTTGGCAATAATTAGGAACACTTCGAAAAATCAACGTAAAAAAACAAACTATTACTAAATTTAATTTACTGTCAACTGTCAAAATGGCGGCGATAATTCAGCGCCCTTTTGACCTTATATGATTGATGAAGAGCTATCGTATTATAGAGCCGTCTATGTAAACCAGACTGTTGTTTGATATTACCCTCGACGAAAGAACAAAACGACGGGATTCTCAAAATCTGAACCCGACACTTATCGGTTCCAGATTTTATCGAGTTAGGTACTTACAGTTTTTTTTATTAACACTGTGAAAAGCGCCTCGCCACTACTACGTCCACTGCTGAACATAGGCCTCCCCCAAGGAATGCCACAAAGCACGGTCCTGAACCACTTGCATCCATCGACTTCCTGCATATCTTACAAGGTTGTCACTCCATCTAGTGGGGGGACGCCCTACACTTCGTCCGCCGGTACGAGGCGGCCACTCGAGAACTTTTCTTACCCTTCGATTGTCGGTTTCTCAAACTATGTGTATGGACGGCCCATTGCCACTTCAGCTTACTGATCCGTTTTTACTAACAGTATACTTTATTCCATTATGACAGATATGTACCGTATCCCGGTGGCGGTGAGAAGTGGGGCGGTAACGGAGTGGGAGACGACCTGTACTCGTACGGGTTCGACGGCGCGCACCTTTGGTCGGGCGGGATGAAAACGGCCGTTCACCGTACGCACTCAGAGGAGCCATTTATTAGGAAAGGTAAAAGATATAATTTGATTTAAAAATAATATTAAAGGTTGAAAAAACTTAAGCAACACGCATTGATCATGCTATGTGATTCATGTATACATAGATACCGACATAAAGGTCAAGCGAATTAGCGTGTAAAAAAGCCGATTTCAAACTCACATCTAATCTAATTTGCAATTTCAACTGAAATACTTTTAGTCTAATAAATCTGGCTGTACTAATTTTTAGTACAGCCAGATTTATTGATTAGAAAAACAAATTTGATTATGATTAACCCTAAAAGTTTTTTTTTTATTTGAACTCATCTTAAAAGTAAAGTATCATCATAAATACGTCTCACTGCAGCTGGGCCTCACCCTCTACCGGCGTAGAATTTTTTTTTATAGCATAAGGGTGACAAACAAGCACACAGTCCAGCTGATGGTAAGTGGTTACTGCGGCCCACAGACATCTACATCTATCCTCGTTTGCGAATCAAAATGCAGATGCGTTGTCACCCGTGAGGACTAAGATGGAATGCCTCATTTCCAGTAATAGAATGTACTATTGACGTTGACATTATTATTAATTTACTATTTGCATGCCAAAATGATAGAATGTACGGATCTTCTATGTACTCTGTCAACACCTTATTGTTAAAAACTACATCCAATGCAAATAAATCAATAAATCAATATTCTATTAAAATGGCTCCGTAACGCAGTAGCTTAGTGCGACGCTCGGGGCCGCGGGTTCGATTCCCTCATGAAACAAGTATTTGTATGGCCTACAAGAATTGAGTAAATGAGAGTAAGTAGTAAGAGTCTCTGAGAGATAATTATAATAAATTTGTGCTATTTGCTGTAGTGAATTTCAGTCCGTGGGCTTTATTACGCGGTGAAATTTCTTTGGGAACTGTATCCGCAACTAATTGTTGCCTGTAGTTGTTGCTGGCACAGAATACATAATAGTACTACGTACAAAAGTTGCACCTCTTTGATTGTGATTACTTACCGACGTTTTAATATCCTACGTAATTATTATTAATAAGATAAATCAAGCACGTAAGCTAATATAAACTATATCTTTGGCTAGGCTTTGCCTCCTTTCCAACCACAGACGATATTCCGTGGTTACCAAGGGTTTTCAAAAAATTAATATTCATTAATAATTTTAGTATTACCTGCTGTTTTTTTTTCATTATTGTTTTCAAAATTGTTAAATAATGTACATATTATTTTCTATATGAATTACACTAAAACTTATATAACTATTTTATCCTCTAACTAAATATACTAAACAATTAACAAAATTGTTTATACAAGTATTTAAAAAAACCTAATCCCATAAACAGTGTTAAAAACTTTGAAATTGATTGTAGTTATGTACTTCACGAAGGTAGGAAGAGTGACAGAGGCCTGCCACTGGAGACAAGAGATCTTGTTCTATTCTCGCCCAAAGGCGAAAATGTGTAGCTATTTAGCAAGGAAACGCAGTCAAATTCCTTATATTATATGCTTTTCCGCGGGGGAGTTAAGATTTTTAGTTTTAAATTTTTTATTTTATTTATTGTTATACTTTATAATGTATTCATTTGTAAAATATGTTTATCTTTCCGCGTATAAACAATATATCGCTAAGCACGGGCTTATTCATTTTCATTTTCTAGGCGATGTCATCGGCTGCGCCTTGGACCTAACAGTGCCGATAATAAACTTTATGTTTAACGGCATAAGGGTCACCGGTTCGTTCACCAATTTCAATCTGGAGGGCATGTTCTTCCCAGTTATAAGCTGTTCAAGTAAATTAAGGTAATATATTTTAGTTATTTTTTTAGTTAGTAAAGGCGTATCGAAAACGACCAGTGTTATCCACTTTCCTATTTTAATGTTAAGGTTGTAAACCAGATGGCTTTTACATAATATATACGTTACATTTGTAATCCTTGAGAAAAGAGATCCTCGAATCACAGCGAGCTACCCGGAGTACGTTTACCCAAAATATGGGAATAGATGAAATTATAATATGGGAATTAATTATACGTGGTAGAGTCATGCTGCAGCTATATTAGTAGTACACCGGGACCGGGGAAGGACCACGCTCTCACAGAATATCAGCGTAAAATAGCAGCTTAACACTGCTGTGTTTCGTATAGTGAGTGTAGAGATGCGGAGACCCTTTTTACTGGAAAAGAGGCATTCCATCTTAGTCCTCACGGGTGACAACGCATCTGGGTTTTGATTCGCAATCCAGGACAGATGTAGATGTCTATGGGCCACAGCAACCACTTACCATCAGGTGGAGTGTGTGCTCGTTTGTCACCCTATCCTATAAAAAAATTGTGATTGGTGGTTACTGGTTACCCCATCGCCTACACAATCACAAGCACAGTATCGCATTATTCGCCTTTTATAACATGTTAGACAAGTGACACAGTCGGCACATTATTTTTTTGTTATAATTTAAAATTAAAAATTTTGTTCAACCGACTTCAATATTTATTGTTAAGGATAACTCAAAAACCATTGGTCAAACATTGATCAAATTTATATGGGACCACATGAGAAGCACCAGCTTTCAAATAAAAAAAGAATCATCGAAATCGGTTCACGTAGAACAAAATTACGAGGTAACACACATAAAAAAACATACAGTCGAATTGAGTACCTCCTCCTTTTTGAAGTCAGTAGAAAATAGTCCCAAATACACATGGAACCCATAGGTCCCAGATCAACATGAGACGCTTTCACAGTAGATATAAAGTCCAGACTTAACTATAGATATGGAAACTTATGATAACGATAAAATAAAGAAAATCGTAAGGCTCGCTTAGATTGGTAATATATCTATTAAGGCTTTTATAGGCGTCATAAATGGATAAACTCTGTGTAAAATCTTAATTTAGTTATAACGCCGGTGTTATCATGTGTAATTAAGACAACTACATAGAAGATTGTCGTGAACTTATTACATAGTAGATGTACGAGGGATAAAGCTGAGAACAAACTATCGGACGTGTCCGTCAGCCGCGGCTGACAGACGCGGCTTAGCGGTGTGCACGTTAGTCGAGACGGCGTCGAGCTAGATTCTGTTCGGACGTCTGAACTCTCAAGAGCGACCCAAGGGCACATAGTTTGTTCTCAGCTTAATATACTTGTCCTGTTTTAACTTAGACCAACAAAGAAAGATAGATACATTTCATGTGAACGTACATTTTAAGTGACGCGTAATACAAGAACACAAACTTACGCACACATATGCACTTAAAATAATTTGTAACCAATAACCTTACCCAAAGGAACCGACCCTAACCATGTAATATCGACTAGATTTTTGTGATTTGCATACATACTGTACCAGTTTCATAATATTATATCCACTAACCCATATCGTCCCGGCGGTATTGTAAGAGGCGACAGAGGGAAAAAAATCTAGGAAATGGGCAGTAGCTCTCTTCTTACTCTTCCTAGTAAAGTAAAGTTGCAGCCTATTTACGTCCCACTGCTGGTCACAGGCCTCCTCTCATTTCTGAGAGGGATTTAGGGCAAGGAAATGTACGCCGCGCTGCCCCAATGCGTGTTGGCGAACTTCACATGTCTTCGAAATATTTTTTTTTCTTATTTCTCAGACATGCAGGTTTCCTCCCGATGTTTTCCTTCACCGCCGAGCACGTGGTAAATTAGCACTTAAAATAGCAATTAACAATATCATTGCTGCCGGCGGGGATCGAACCCGGGTTCCTCGAGTACTGTGAAGCTTACAGCTAGCGCTAACCATCTGAGCTACCACGGCTCTTCTTCCTAGTAACAATTAAAAAAAATAAAAAAACCGCGGTTTCCAACCCGCTGTGTCGCAACCATGGCAAATATCGCCCCTATGAGGCAATCCATGTTCGGCAGTGTACTTTTGATAGGCTGATGAGGTAACCTTATATACAGCGATATTTAAAACGTTGATACTTTTATTTTTCATTTTGTGACCAGTTGCCGCTTTCTCCTCGGCGGTGAACACGGTCGTTTACGCTACGCGGCTCCTGAAGGCTACTCACCGTTGGTAGAGTCGCTGTTGCCACAGCAGATCCTCAGCTTGGAGCCCTGCTTCTACTTCGGTAACTTGGCGAAACGTGCGCTCGCTGGCCCTCCATTAGTTCAAGACGACACCGCATTTGTTCCAACTCCTGTAGACACTATGCAGGTACTATTTCAATTTATTACCTTAATTTTTTTTTATTTATTGACTCACGTTACATAATTGTTAGTACAAATTATACACTCTCTAAATAGTTAAGCATATAATAATCACACTTTTGCTATTTTTAAATTGTGAATAAAATAAGAAGTAACAAGAATTTAATATTTATTTAAGTGTATTATTCTTCTTCTTGTTTTCATATTAGTATTGTTTTTAACTTATTAAATCCAATGCATGACTACATAGAGTTTTTCGTTTAACAATTTTTTTCTTGCAATTATAGTAAATTAAAAGATTTTCGACCGAATTGACGATATATAGTAAATGAGCTAAGTTAAAGAGTGCCCTTAACCGATGAGCATGTTTACATAGCTATATGGATGTGAATCTTTTTTTTTTTTTTATAGGATAAGGGTGACAAACGAGCACACAGTCCACCTGATGGTAAGTGGTTGCTGCGGCCCATAGACATCTACATCTATCCTCGTTTGCGAATCAAAATGCAGATGCGTTGTCACCCGTGAGGACTAAGATGGAATGCCTCATTTCCAGTAAAAAGGGCCTCCGGCCACCTGCACTCACCAAGCGAAACGCAGAGGTAAACCTCTACTTCACGCTGGTTTTCTGTGAGGTCGTGGTACCACCCCGGTTCGAGCCGGCCCATCCGTGCGACAGCAAAAGCTGCCGCGTGGCTCTACCACTGTTAAATACTGGGCTGTAATGATGATGACGATGATGATGATGGATGTGAAAGTAACGTGAGAGTTGTGTCGGGATGTCACGATCGTCTTAAATGGAAGTGTGTAGTCCCTGTCTACCTCTCTGAGTGAGAGGCGTGAGAGTTTATACCTTCTTTGTTTGAAGTTGGCTGCAGATGTCCATTGACTGCAACAGCCACTTACTATCAGGTGGACTGTGAGTCCGTTTGTCACTTTAGTTTTATAAAAAAAAATATATTAAGTTATAATTTTGTACTTTATTTATCTGTATTAAAGTATATATTTCTTAAAAGTTAAATAACAAAAATTATAAAGAAAATATTGATAACATAACAAAATTGAAAAGTCGTAAATTATAAACCTTCTTTAAAAGAGAGAAAATAATTGGATATTCCTTTTTCAGATCACATTACCGTCGTATATTGAACAAATTCGAGACAAGCTTGCCGAAAATATTCACGAAATGTGGGCAATGAATAAGGTAAGAAGAGCTTTGATATATAAACATTTAAAGACTAAATTTTCTTTAAAGTTCCAGTCAATACATGTCACACTTCTGAGCATATGCCTTCACACATTTCTAAGAGGGTTTTCGAGGGAGCAATGAATCCACCGAGCTGAGCTAAGCTGAGCTAAGCGGGCCTGAGCGTTTTCTTTACCACCAAGTGTGTGCTAAATCAACATATAAAATAATATTTATGACTGCCTCGTTGGTCTAGTGGTTGTATTAGTGCGACTGCTGATCATGAGGTCCCGGGTTCGAATCCCGGGTCGAGCCAAAAAATCTACAGCCAGCGCTTAGACCCTGAGCTACTACGGCTCCATTTCTCTGAGCCACATATTTTATATGCTATTTGTACATACTTCAGGCGCAACAATAGTATTATCAAAATTATCTTAAATCGCAACTCAAACGAGTACAAAAATCATAATATTATAGATTTTGTACTTGTGTGCTAGTTGAATGAAACTAGCCTAGCAGGGGTTTAGAGACTTTTATTTATGTACTAGCTGTTCCCAGTGACTTTGCCCGCGTGGATTTTTTTCTGCGGAATCCTAAATCAAAAGTAGCTTATATTATTCCTTATACCATATGTTACCTGCCAGTGAAATACAATGGTTCACAGGTTTTTGCGTGATGCGTACACGCCAAAATAGCTCGCACATGACATATTTTTTTTCAGACTAACTTAACAATTATCGTTATATTTTGATTACATAATATTTTTATGAACTTATAGCTTATGTGTTATTCTGATGTAAAAACTATATTATTGTAAAGTTTTAATAAAATCCACACATCTGCACAAACTTTCACATTTATAATATTAGTAGGATTTTTAAATTTGTATACACTATTTCTAATATTCTGTTTTATATCAGATCGAATCCGGCTGGATGTACGGGGACCAGCGCGACGATTTGCACAAGATACACCCGTGCCTCGTACCATTTGAGAGATTGCCTCCAGCTGAGAAACGTTACGACATACAACTCGCCGTGCAGACGCTCAAGTAACAAATTCCTATTCTAAATTATTTTTATCTTCTTCTTCAGATGTAATTCTTCAGAGCTTCTCCCGTTGGAAGAAAAATTTGCCTTCTATGTCACGTAGTATTTTTTACATAGTAGAGTCATACTGCAGCTATTTTATAAGTAGTTCAAACACAAGCGCAAATGGATCGGCTCGACCGAGAAACGACCACGATCTCACAGTAGTATACCGGCGTAAAATAGTTTCGTATTGTGAGGATAGAGAATCGGAGACCCTTTTATGGAAACGAAATATCCCATCTTAGTCCTTAGGTCTAACAACGCATCGAAAACACCCCGAAGCCTAAATCACGCTATCAAAGTTCCAAAGTACTGCGCTATATATAGAACATCTCTGTACAAGCGAACGGAGCTTTGGCGCGACCAAACATCTGCCACATTGTTCTCAAGGTCACAACATCCTCTTACTATCAGGTGGACTGTGTGCTCTTTTGTAACCTTATTCCATTAAAAAAGAAAAACGTGTCGCACAATTTACGGCGCTATCCGTCAACAGTTTGGTTATTTTACAACTGGCGTAAACGATAATGATTTCTTATATTTACGCGAAAACTACACATGTAAGTAAAACTAGTTTTACGGATTTTATCGCGTCATCATCATCATTACAGCCCTTCACAAGTCCACTGCTGAACATAGGCCTCCCCCAAAGAATGCCACAAAGCACGGTCCTGAGCCACCTGCATCCATCGACTTCCTGCATATCTTACCAGGTCGTCACTCCATCTAGTGGGGGGACGCCCTACACTTCGCCTGCCGGTACGAGGCTGCCACTCGAGAACCTTTCTTCCCCATCGGTTGTCGGTTCTTCGTGCTATATGGCCGGCCCATTGCCACTTCAGCTTAATAATCCGTTGGGCTATGTCGGTCACTCTGGTTCTACTGCGGATATCCTCATTTCTGAGTTTATCACGCAGAGAAACTCCGAGCATAGCCCTCTCCATAGCTCGCTGAGCAACCTTGAGCTTCCTCATCCGGCCAGCAGTGAAGGACCACGTCTCAGTTCCGTATGTCATCACTGGCAACACGCACTGGGTGTACAGTCTCGTTTTCAAGTTTTGAGGTATACCTGACGAGAAGATGTGTCGTAATTTCCCGAACGCTGCCCAACCGAGTTGAATCCGTCGATTGACCTCTCGGTCGAAGTTGGACTTACCTAGTCGGACTATTTGTCCCAGGTAAACATACTCGTCCACAACTTCGAGCTTAGTGTTCCCAACAACTACCGGCATAGGTGTAACATGGACATTAAACATGATCTTTGTTTTGTCCATGTTCATCTTAAGACCTATCCGTTGGGAAACACTATTGAGGTCATTGAGCATAGTGCTTAGGCCCTCCAGCGATTCTGCCATAAGGACTATATAGTCGGCAAATCGAAGGTGAGTGATGTACTCGCCATTGATGTTGATACCGTATCCTTCCAAGTCCAGTAGCTTGAAAACATCTTCCAATGCAGCGGTAAAGAGTTTTGGGGATATGACGTCACCCTGTCTTACACCTCCCTGCAATTGGATAGGTTTCGTACTCTGGTTCTGTACTCGGATAGCCATCGTAGCCCTACTGTACAAACACTTCAACACTTCGATATACCGACAGTCACTTGGCATCGCTGAAGGGACTGCAGCACCGCCCAAATTTCGACGGAATCAAAGGCTTTCTCATAGTCCACATACGCCAGACATAGTGGCAAATTGTACTCCTCGGACTTCTGTACAATTTGCCGAAGGGTATGTATGTGGTCTATGGTGCTAAAGCCTTTTCGGAAACCGGCTTGTTCGGGAGGCTGGAAGTCGTCAAGTCTGCGCGCGAGACGATTCGTAATGACTCTCGAAAACAGCACGTAGACGCAGCTCAGAAGGGAAATCGGTCTGTAGTTCTTCAACAGAGCATTGTCGCCTTTCTTGAAAAACAAGACCACCGCACTTCTGCTCCACGCCTCCGGTGTAATGCCACCATGGAGGACGGAATTAAAGAGCTTCTGAAGGACTTCAAGTACCGGTCGGTCTTCAGCTTTGACAGTTGGCTCTTTCTGGCAGACAGATCTCTGGCAAAGACTTTGGAGCCTTGGTTTCACTCGCTCGCTTCTTCAATACGAGCTGTATTGAAGTTGCGTAAGTCCCGCCGCATGCACTTGGAGATCTGTCTGTTCAGTTGCCTGTATGCTGTCAAATCTGTTGAAGAATGTAGCTTCATCTCCCGTCTAACAGCCATGAGATTAAGAGTGTGATCGGAGAGTTTTTGTGTTCTTCTGCGGCGGGTCTTGCAGAACTTAGCTCCGACCGCATGGACAGTTTCCACGAGCTTGTCATTCAAATCGTCCACTTCATTGCAGTCTTCTAGGCACTGAAATCGGTTTTGTAACTCGAGCTGAAAGGTTTCGGGACTTTGGATTAGAGCACGAGGGAGACGGAGCGTTGACTTCATTAGACGTGACCTGTCCAACTTAACGTTTGGGTTCAGTGTGCCTCTAACCATTCGGTGATCGCTGCCGGTGTTCACCCTTGCGATCACTGAGACAACACTGAACAGTTGCCGTCTGGTCGTCATAATGAAGTCAATCTCATTTTTTATCGAACCGTCGGGGCTCGACCAGGTCCACTTCCTGTGGGGCCGCTTCTGGAAGAAAGAGTTCATCATAAAGAGTCCCTCTTTCTCCATGAAGTCGGCCAGCTGCTGGCCCCTTGGGTTCCGTTGCCCTATTCCAAATTTTCCCACTTTCAGCTCACCGTTCTCTCTTGTGCCTAGTTTTGCATTGAAGTCTCCCATTAACACCGTATATTGGGTTTTGGAGGAATGCATGGCTCTAGAGATATCCTCATACATTTCCTCCACCTCCTGATCGGGGTGTGCCGAGGTTGGTGCGTAAACCTGTATGAACTTCAGCGAATACCGTTTGGTGATTCTGAGTATAAGGTACGCAACCCTCGTCGACACACTCTCAATCTTTACAACGTTGTTAACGAGAGACTTGTGGACGTTAAATCCGACACCTCCTTGGGACAGATGGCCGCCCTCCCGGTAATAGAGCAAGTTGCCGGATTCGAGGATTACCGTGTCCTCCCCCTCTCTTCGGACTTCGGATAATCCTATAATATGCCAGCGTAACTTGTCTATTTCTATTTATCGCGTATATTTACTTATTTTATATTCCCGACGTTTCAGCACCCATGGTCACGGGGAGGGGGGGAGGCTGAGGTGTATGACGTCCCAATGTCATAGTTAACCACGGCTACGTCCAGATTAAAAATTAATAGTTTTTGATTTTAAAACTTTTGCGTAGATCGGAACATATAACTTATTATATATATAGAAATATAACTTATAAGAATAATATATTATAATAACTTATTATATAAATATAATAAGATGATGCCATATTTCGGACAGCCACAAGATTTTGTGGTATTTTCCATAGTTGCCCCTTACGAGCTTACGAAACCAACCAGACGAAAAGGGATGATAATTTCCTTACGCCATCACTAGATGGCCAACTTACGGATGTTAGAATTCTGCTTCTTCTTCACCGGCCCGTGAAATTCCATCAGTGGATTATGTATGGCATGGGCTTCAGTTGTATAGAGGTATCAATGTTGAGGAAAGAATATGTTGTACTTAGTATATATTAAATTTTGTAACTGCAAACCGATGTTTAATTAAATATTTGCAGAACGATCTTGGCCTTGGGCTACTACATCAGTTTGGATAAACCTCCGGCCCGCATCCGTAATGTTCGCCTCCCCAACGAACCTTTCATGCAGGTAATTCTTAGTAGTTTTATAAAAAGTCGATATCGATATATTTTCTACGTGGTAGAGCCATGCTGCAGCTATATTATGGTTGTAGCACGAATGGGTCGGCTCGACCGAGGAAGGACCACGCTCTCACAGAAAACCAGCGTAAAATAGCAGCTTAATGCTTCTGTGTTTCGTATGGTGAGTGTAGAGAGCCGGAGACCCTTTTTACTGGCAAAGAGGCATTCCATCTTAGTCCTCACGGGTGACAACGCATCTGCATCTTGAGTCTTTATTGAGATAGATATAGATGTCTATGGGTCACAGTAACCACTTACCATCAGGTGGACTGTGTGATAGTTTGTCACCCGATGCTATAAAAAAAATCTGAATATGAATATTTTAATATTATGAACATCTTAGTAACTGAAAAGTAGTATATATTTATAACACAGCTACACAAGTTATGTAAAAAAAACATCGATCACATTACTATTAAAATACATGATAACACAAAAAAAATGTGCGTGCGCAGCGAAATCAGTTAAAATAATGCATTATTTTGAATTTAAAACATAAAAAGGACAGAATTTTTGAGAATTTTTAAATTAATTTTTATTCACCGTTGGCCTATATTACTTATTCTGAACCTCCTCAGCAAATTAAGCCGGTTATTGCAAAATAACCATGTATATACACCTCTGTTTTATCGTAGTAATTATTACATTAACTTGCAGTCGAACGGTTATAAACCAGCACCGCTGGACTTGAGTGCTGTCACCCTAACACCAAAAATGGACGAGTTGGTCGATCAGCTGGCCGAGAACACACACAACCTGTGGGCACGTGAACGCATTCAGCAGGGCTGGACGTACGGACTTAATGAAGTAAGTGATTACTTGATAAACAAATCACACTATTATTTACTAGGTGGTAAGACTCTTTTTCTACCTCGAAGTCTGTCTGGGAGGTGTCGCCCTCTTCCTTATTTCTGAGGCTAAGTAGCAGTGTCTCTATAGAGCGCCAGTGAAATTACAATCTGTGAGGTAATCTATCTTGTTCTTCATAGGTGACAAAGGTTTTGGTTGTAGGTATCCCTAGTATGTAGTAGCCGCTTACTTAACTATAAGGTGGACTGTATGTTCGTTTGCTTTTGCAATTTTATTTAAAAAAACACTACGTCCGTTTATCATTAGTATTGAAAACGTAACTTTGTTATATCGTATTTTGCATTTATCTATAAAGGGATTGATTGTGATGTATGTATGTAAATTGTGAAAATACCGCATCAATAAAAAAAATTAATCACCATTTAAAATGTGTGATTCATTATTTTATGTTCTACTTTGTTTTATATCTTTTCCAAATAAATAGGATAAAAAATTAGCGCCCCCACCGTATTTCTAAGAAAGCATGAAATGTTATTCCGTACTTAGTTATTGTATTTCTTATTATTTTTTTATTTAGCAAAAAGAAGATTTCTCCTTCCTTGTCTACTGTTAGATTCGACAGCTGTGACTCTCACACTTAGTATGTTCGAAATAATATTAGGTGTGAGGGTCACAGCAAGGCGAGTCTAAAATATACAACGCCAGAGAAGAAAGAAAACCATAATTAGTCGATTAGAAGAAGAAATATTTTTTTTTTTTTTCTAACCATTTTTAAATTCTCAATCCTTTTCTATTGAAGCTCATTGGCTCTGGAATTCCTTACCGCTTCATATCAGGCGTACGCAATTACTTCACATATTTAGTCTTGTCAAAGCAGTGCGCTTTATTTCCTCCTTTAAAAAAGTCATTCCTTTATCGCTTTATCTCTCCTTCAACTTTCGACGTTAATTTAAAAAATTATCTTTCTTTTTTTTTCCCTTGCACCAGGTGACTTTTGTTTTACCTATTGTTTACTCCTTTATGTTTGTATATGTGTTTGCATATTTATGTACTTTAAAATAATTTAAAATTAAAAATTTTGTACAGCCGACTTCAATATAAGTTATTTAAGAATAACTTAAAAACTATTGGTCTGACCTTGATCAAATTCATATGGGACCACACGAGAAGTACCAGCTTTCAAATAAAAAAAAAATCGAAATCGGTTCACCCAGAAAAAAGTTCTGAGGTAACACACATAAAAAAAAAACGAAAAAAAAAACATACAGTCGAATTGAGTACCGGCTCCTTTTTGGAAGTCGGCAGATAACATAAAATCCTTCTCTCGCTTCAGTTATATCCAAATACATGCATCAATTATGGGTAGGTACTCCTAACTTGGCTCTTTTTTAATATAGATGTTAATCGTACATTTAGTATTTTACTATGTATTTATTAATTATTTATTTTTATGCATGTACACGCATAATATATTTTGCAATTCGTTTTACTATTCAAAATATAGGGACGCCCTATATGGAATACTATCGACGAAATTGGTTACATTTTGAAGATGGGGCCAATTAAAAATACCTAACCGGTGAGCATATTGTATGTGCGTTATTTCTTAGTTAGAAGATGGTCTAATTTTAGACTGTGGTTATATGGACGTAAAAAAACGAGAAAAGTATATAGATCGTGTCCTTGGCCTACCACTCGTGAGAGTTTATGCATATGTGTGTGTATTATGTTAAAAATACAATTTAAAAAGTCTATGATATTTTTTAATAATTTATGTATAAAATTTTATAAAATTATGTATAAAATATAAGAATATTTTATTTTAGAAAATGTCTTGACACTTATTATATATTTTACTCACATATAGTATAAACTATTTATTTTGTTAAATATCTTTTGTCATCACATCACATCAGGTTAGATATTTTCTAAATGTATTATAATTTTCTCTGATCATCGAGTTATATGTACTACGTACTAGAGAAGCCTTTCTAAACAAAAAATGTGCACTACTCTATGTCTTCGCGCATGCGCGGGAGTTAGTAAAGTCGTGCATGCGCTTTAAGCGCGTTGCGCCTGCGTGGTCAGTTTATATAAAGAAATATCTGTTTTCATGAATTTTTCTTTTATAATTTTACGATATTATTACCTATTAATTTACTTGAACAACAAATAATTTTACTTACTTGACTACTGAATTGTTATTTACGTCCTGGTTTAAACTTTAATTTGAAATCTTGTATTATTAGCGCCGCTGCACATTGCATGAATATTGAAACTACAGACTAACTCAAATATATAATGTACTCTGTGGACTAACTAATAGATTGAAACCACACTAAATGACACACTGTACGGATTGCAGTACAGTTTAGTTGAACATAGCGTATGTTCGGAATGCGCAATGTAATGCGTAGTACATATATATCTATGTTTACATATAATAATTATAACTTTTATGTACTTCTATACATGTAGGGTATAAAAATTTTTCAATTATCTAATCCTTCTATTTAATCCTAATAAGTGTTACATTAGAAGAGGACAACACTACTTACATTCCAAGTGTATAACACTTTTTAGGGCGTTACTCACCGGCTACGGTTATCGGAGAGTCAAGGGACTCGAGTATCAAAATAAAAGTATCCCAGGGCGCCTGTTGTTGGATGATTAGTAAATGAAAATGCTAAGATACATATACAGACAAAAAGTAGTTTATTTCCTTCTACGGTTCACATATATAGCTCCAAATATCAAGTTTTCACTTTAAAATACCCTACGAACTGAGGTTTTGACTAACCTGGTGGATTACACAATATTACACTGTTTATGGTCAATCCCGCGAAGCAGTGAGGCAACAGATATCCTCCAGGTGTACGCCAGTCGCGGTCTCCTGGCCGCCCAGTCCCAATATAGCCACCCGTTGAAGCTGCCTCGCGTCGTTCCCATTGTTAAACTTGATAATGGACCATACTCAAAGTACGGACTAAGGACTAAGGACTAAGGACCCAATTTATGGGATGATGTGTTTCAACACATTAAACTGCCCGTAGACATTGTGTTTAAGGGGCCGTACGCCCAAGTAGTCGTCACTTTAAATTCATGTTCCGGCGTTTCGATTCAAAAATTATATATGTGCGTGTCCGATCATTACAACGGCTCGCTCCAAAAAGAACTAGGCCTCCCTTGGGCTACACGCCACCGTCGATCCGTGGTAGGATTTCGAACTAACACGAAAGGTCAATTGCATGCAATTAGCTAGCTCGATTCGTCAATATACGTTTCTAGTTACTTCGGACTAATGACGTTAGATGGCGCTCTGAAGTCTGTTCATCGCATGTAATAACGTAAATATGCTAAAATAATGTACACGAAAATTTTCGTGTTACACATCCCCTTTGCTTGGGTTAAAAAGTTCTTCGTAATGAAGATACTTTTTCCGAAGACATTTCGTGCCACCTGCAGAACAACGACTGAATGCCAAAGACAGTGAAGAAGTTGTAATGCGTCTCTAATCCAATCTGGCTAAAAACATTCGCACGGATAGTAAATTCCAAGTCACCCATGCACCAACAACTAACAAGTAACAAGCCATCACTTAATCACTTAATTACGACGTTTAATCTTACACAAGGCTCATTATTACTCTACTTATTACCTAATTTTCATTTCTGTATCTGTATACCTAGTAACATTATATTCCACTAAACAATTTAACCTCAAAATGTAATTACCTACTTGTATTGTTAACACAAAAAAAAAACACTCCCACAAATTTACCTACTTGTGTTGTAAGTTAGAAAATACTACACTAATTGTTATACCTATATTAACCTAATGGCATGCAACTTTATTTACATTTATTCCTACATGTTTTTACAATAATGAAATACAACCGCCTATGAATAATTACGTTCCCGAATCCTACGCGCGAATAGTCTATTACCATTCATGCGGTGCGTGACGTAACATCACGGGACTGAAACGAATACCTACAGTGCACTAAGCCTACACACGATGTTTACGTTTCGACTCGATTTTTCTCTGAGTAGTCGAAAAACGAACGTGTTCTTATTTATTAAGTTGAGTAGTTAAGTGATTTGGAAATCATATTAAGTATTAAGTTAAGTTAAATATCTATCTCGCATTAAGTTAAGTGAATTAACGTTTAATCATATTAAGTTAAAAGAAACAGCTTAAGTAATGCTACGCACTGGTTGGTATGCATTTTCTTATATAATGTCCAGAGTGCGGACATAAAGAACAAATTCTTATCTAACTCGCGCCGATGTTCACAACATAAGATGACCTACTAGTTATGTATCGCTTGTTCATCAATACAATCACAGCTTATTTATCTCAGAAAGTTCACCGGTGGAAATGAATTTTGAAAATGTTTATTATTCTTACATTCTTTCACTCAATCATACTCATCACTCACATTCTACAAAACTATTAGTCATCTTGTTTAAGGATGTCTTTTATGTGAAAATTACCTAGTGTCTTACCTTCCATGCTGGCTAAGGTGATAATAAAGGTGATAATTTCGCTGTTATGACACATTTTTGAAATTTTGGTGCTAGTTTAGCCGTAAATCTCTTTGAGGCATTAGATAGGTAATGGGTACGTTTATATACAATCTGACCTACTTTTAACTCAACATGTCGTTTTCTTAAGTTATAGTACTTTTCTTTTCTAGAATGAGCATTTTTAATATGCTTTTGTACCTTTTTAAATATGGTGTCTAATTCCGCTAATTTTTTACTGTATGCTTGTGGTTCACCGAGAGTTACTTGTGATCTTTGAACTGGCTGAGTGCTATCTAAGCTGTGTAACATTCCATCTATTATGAATTCCCGTCCGTGCACAAAAAAATACGGAGTAAACTTAGTGGTATCATTCACGGCTGAATTAAGTGCGCATTGCAACTGTGGGATGTTCTCGTCCCATCGTTTATGCTCGGTACCTACATAACAAGATATACCGTTAACTACGTT